CTTCGAAAAAAAGTAGGGGTTTAACCCTGGCCAAATTTGCTCACTGGCATCTATCCATCATGGCCTCCTAACCATCCCCATATCATACTGTTGACTTCATCAGTTGGCTGGTGTGGTGTGCGGTCTGGTGCAATAGGGCATCCTGATGGATGCTGCACACTGGTGGTAGATGAGGAGATTCCCTCCAAAAATTGTGTAAAGCGATTTGAGTGTCCAGAAAAATAACAATGTAAGGAATTGTTATTATTGTTAATAAGCATTAACCATTTAATCTAATGTCAACTGAAGTACTGAATAATGTTAAGTACAGCAGAATGAAAGGCCATTGTTGACTTTACATTAGCGCCGGTGCATGAGATAAAGCAATCTCTTGGCTGGTACCCAATTAAAAAAGTGCGCATCATATATCTTGACACCTCATTTGCTGTTCACACACACCTGGCAAGTAAACATGCAGACATGTTCAACTTTATAGCTAACACTAGGAAAAGCTAGCAGCGCTTTTAACCAGAAAAAAACAGCACTTGATCGCAACACAGAAAGCTAGAGAGCCAGTACTTACTCCAGTGGCACTGCAACCGCACTGCTTTGATCTGAGATGCGAATTCTCTTAACTTGTCTGGGCTTTCAAAAAAGGGCTACTTAAATTATTTCAGAGATGCCGCTTTCTCTTCGACATGGCAAAGGTAGAGCCCTCCCGTGGATTGGGAAAGATAAAAGGTGCTCAAACAGACATCACGACAGGTTTGTTATATTACTTAGCATAAGCACTGCCAAGCATCCCTTAAAGGAATAGACATCTTGTGCTTTTCCCTTTAAACAACAAAAAATTAACAGTGAGGAATTGGGACCCTGCTCTTGTGTTGTATCACTCAACAAAGGCGCGCGAACAATCGCTTATTATGTCAAACTTTGACAATGACAGAATTGGAACAGGGCTTCTTCAGCGCTCCGTCCCCCACTGGGAGCCCCCCTACACACACATGCACACACACACACACACATTCTGCAAAGAAAGTTTACTTTCCCTGTCATAGGAAATTACATTTGCATTTGAGGAGCACTGAAGGCCATCTGGTGTTCTGGAACATATGAAAGATCTTTAAGCTTGGTCATAATGTTGACTTGCTCCTCTTACTTGGGGAAAACAGGTAGATATGGGTATAATTGTTCTGACATTTAAGTGGAAATTCCCTTATGCTAGTATATTAGCACCCAAAAGTAAAGGTTTACTCACCTTTCACTTGTTCCAAACCTGTTTGACTTTTTTTATGTATAAAAATATTTATTTAAAAAATTCTATATGAAAAACCAGTAGACATTGACATTCATAGTAGGAAAAGAAAATGGCTAAAGGTTTTGAACATTCTTCAAAATATCTTCTTTTGTGTTCAACAGAAGAATGACAATTAAACAGGTTTGGAACAAGTAAAGGATGCAAAAACAGTGACGGAATTATCATTACTGCCTGAACTATTCCTTTATGTACAACTGTAAATGTGATACAAAGTGCATACATAATTCTCATTTACGACATTTAAGTGGTATTACAATATACATATATTTAAATGAGCAAATCATATGAAGAGAGCTCAACATGCCGCAAGTTAAAGCTGCAGTAGGTGATGGTCTTCAGAAACATTTTTTGTTGAGCTGGTGAAAAGTCTCTTCACACTCCAATAATCATTAAAGTAAATGTTAAAATAAACAAAAACCTTTAAGAACTCCGACAGTATCGCTGCCTCTAAACAGGAAGCAGCTTGCTTCAGAAATAGTTTGGGGGCCCAAACACATTTCTATTGTGGTCAGGGGTAGATTTAGTGATTTGGGGGCCCTAAGCAATTCCAGCCATGGGGCCCAAAAGTTCTGAAATGCACCTTTACTACTTTATTTTTGATTGATCATTTTATTTCTTATTTCACTCAATCCCTCCTTTTCTACATTTTGTCTTAATGTAAAATAATAATAACAACATGTAAAGCATCTTGTAAAACTTCTTATACGATTTGTTTTCTTAAAATGAATTCACAACTAAATGTTATATATAAAATATTTTGTTTTTAAAACTAAATACACTGCGCAGATATAATAAATATAAACTTTTATTTTTTTTAGATACTCATCATACAAAATATGACAGAAAATTATGTTATATATATCATTTATATGTATAATTTATAAGTCTAGGTATTTATTTGAGTGTCCCCAGATTTCCTGGAGCCCCAAGCAGCCGCTTATCTTGCTTATTGGTTAAATTCGCCCATGATTGTGGTTTGCACTATTTGCAGTGCATTTTTGTAATTGCATGTGTTGTACAAATGTGCGCGCATGTGTTGTCAAACTGATGAAGATTCTTTATTAATATGTCAGTGTTTTCTATTTGCAAGCGTTTTCTTAACTTGCAGTGCGCATTTGACTCTATCGGCCACCGTAGAATGAGATCAGACTATAGAATATAATTAATGTACATCTACTGTAGTCAAAACTGCAACAAACTCCAACAGTTTTGAAAAATAAAACTTTCCTTCCTACCTTAGGCTTAGCCCCTTTACTCATTAGGAGTCGCCACAGCGGAATGAACCGCCAACTTATCCAGCATATGTTTTACACAGCAGATGCCCTTCCAGCTGCCCAGTACTGAAAAACAACCACACACTCATTCACACACATACACTACGGCCAATTTAGTTTATTCAATTCACCTATACCACATGTCTTTGGACTATGGGGGAAACTGGAGCACCCGGAGGAAACCCACGCAAACACAGGGAGAACATGCAAACTCCATACAGAAACGCCAATCTTCTTGCTGTAAGGCGACAGTGCTAACCACTGAGCCACCGTGCCACCCTACAAAATTTTCATTCACAACATTTTCACTTCCTATTCGGATAAACGTCACCTGAACAGCGGCCTGATCCATTTAACGCAACTATCAACAATTTTACAATCAAAATCTGGTGAAATACCCCAGATCAAACCAATTATAATCACTAAACCACCTCTACTGCTGTAAAGCAAACTTATAAAAACTGCAAAAATTAGTTTCACTCTAAGAATTCTGTGATGTTTTGCTTGCTACTCACACTAAACTTCGCCTCTATGGCAGCCGTAAAACTTCAAATGACTTCAAAGGAGGAAGCGCAGACAGGATGAAGTCTGCTGTGGTAAAATGAATACACCTCAAACAGAGTCATTAGCAGGAAAGGGTTCACAAATTAAAGCAGTAAAAGAGACTAAAGATCGATTGTGGGGGGATTTCAGCTGGCATCGCAGCGTGAGAACGGCAGCCGGATGTTTGGCATGCTGTACGGAGGGGTCTGGATCATACGCTAACCTCCATTCGGTGTGCTAGCTGGCGGCCCCAGTCATTGACAGGAAAGCGCGGGCCGCCAGGGCATTGATTGATTAATCAAAGCTAATGTTCTTTTGATCAGCAGGGGCTGCCCTATTAACCAGTGAAGGAAAGAGGGGGAGAAATGCTCCATCTTTTATTTACCCGCTCGCGAGGTCCCTCGTTGGCTTCCAACGCTAACTTCAAAGCCGACTGTGACAATTCTGTCACAGTTTTGACTGATGGAAAAAAAAAGTTTCCTATATAATTTTCCCTCGACAGTAGATTTTGTTTAATCGTTTCCAGCATCGCTCGGTTTTAATATGTGTCGAGGAAGAGAATACAAGTCTCATGTTTTCTTCATGACTGTTTCCTTTCTCGTCTAGTTGTCTAGTGGGTTGTCCTCTTTTTCGCACTGTGATATTTTATGCCGTGCACTGCCTGTCATAAGGACACCCAGGGAAACTTCACGCAACTTTTTGTTGTTTGCTATAATTTATCCCCTTGTTCCAGGTTGAAGCGCGCACACTTTCAGCGTTAAGCATGTATTGCGAGAGGCCTAATGCTGAGTTCATACTGCATGATTTTAGCCTACAGGTTTTGAGAAATCGCCATTGAATCCCTGAAATCACAGGCAAATCGGTGCTCATTCATGTGAGTAACAATCACAGTATAAACTATCAATGATGCAATCTGAGAGAATTGCAGATCTGACGCCCGTGAGATATTTGACATAATAAATATATGGAGCTGTGGACGATTCAAAATCCGGCCTTGTGAAATGCGTTCTGATTGAAAATAACATCGATGATCACCTACAGCCAATGAGAGCAGCATCCACTAATATGGTATCTGCAGGTCAACGGGAGGTTGGGGGAGAAGTTAAAAGCGCTCACTTTCAGTTTATTTGAATCCAAGAAAGGGAGGGAAAACTAGTGTAAATTTGCCAGGAGCACCCGTGTCTGTTTTACATGTCATTCGAGCAATAATCCAACTGGATCCAAAAAGAAAAAAAAAAGTTGTGGAGAAATTGCAAGTCCCTTCAAAGCAAGGTGAGCAAAATAAGTACATTTTCTACCTCACTAAAGGCTTCTTTCTCATTAAATAACAAAAGACATACAACGTGACCTCGCTTTGTTTCCATGTCACTTCTCGTGTGTGTTTGGTCGTGAGACATAGTTTGGACAAAGTTGTCGGTGATTCTTTCTATTGTAAAGTCTTGATAAGTGAAACCCACTATCGCCGATCCATCTTGCACTGTAAACAAAGCAGCGATGAAATGCTACCCCAGATAGTTATGTAGTGTGAAAACATACATGACACAACTACTTTCAAAACCGTGCAGTCTAAGAACAGTCCCTAGAACAATATATATATGTATATATGTATATATATATGTATATATATGTATATATACATATATATATATATATACATATATATATATATAAATTGGTAGGTCATAATACATTAGATAGTAAGCAATCAATCAATTTTTATTTCTTGTAATTAATGTTCTGGACGATGGAGAAGATCTGAGCTGCACAAGCAAAATGTAATGGTAAAACTACTAAGTATCTCTGAAATGGCAAGGCAGTGGGTTAACAAAAACGATATTTGTCCAAACCAGAAAACAAAGGCAACACAAAGAGGCTAAAAACGATCATTGGATACCTGAAGTACTTTTATTACTTTACTTCAATTTGGTGGCCTGGCTTGAATGGCTTCTTTACATTCAAACAATGGTAACATTAACAAATTGTTTTTAACATAGTCATCAAAAGAGGGCTTAACATGAAGTAAAGTGCTTCTCCACAATGTCATCTGTAGCTTTAATTTGCATGCGTCCTTTACATTTAAAAAAATTCTGACTGTCTATCAGCGTTTTATAGTTTGTTGGTTGGACAAAGATGGTTCTCAAAGTGATCCCAAGGATATTATTTCTCTACTTCTTAATCCTTATAGTCTGAGCTCTGCCTTTGTTTTAACACTCAGAGCTATGTCTTTACTGTTATAAATTAGTGTGAACGGCCCTTTATTCCTGAATAGCAGTGATAAGAATTGCTCAAAAAAAATTTCACATGGCAAAAAATGGCCTCAGGATGTTGGACTCCCAAGGCTCTTTGAGGCTTGAAGGCAATAGAGGCTGTCCCATCTGGCCCAAGCCAACAGAAAAGTACAACACATTTAGATGGTTAGGGGGGGAATGTATTGCAACTCTGCCGCTTATGGTAGCATAACATAACACAGCATAACAGTAGACCAATCAGACTGCAAATGATGACCACCAGTGGATGTGCCTACAAGGAGCACAAGAGTGTCTGAACTGGACGGAAGTGCCTACAAGAAGCACATGAGTGTCTGATCTGGACCTTGTAGCAGTGGAAGAAGGCTGCCTGGTCCAGCGAGTACAGTTTTCTTTGTATGAACACGAGAAGACAATGAACTCCACACGATCCCACCCCAGAAGGTACGTTTGCAAGACTTGTGCTGTTTCATATCATGTTCAAAGTGCCTTAAAGTACACTGGCTGCTTTCTTTACTCTCAGATGAAGGGAGACCCACCTGAGTGTAGACTAAGTGAGGTATCCTTCTACATCTTGTTTCATGTTGGGAGACTCTCAAAGTGATGAGCAGGTGAAAAACCCAAGGTCTTTTTGCCAGGTCCTTGAGTTTCTTAAGCTTCCGGAGGACTCTGAGGGGAAACGTTATATCTCGTGTTTAATAAAAATTTCAGAAGCAACTCACATATACACAGACACACGGAAGGACCTTAATACACAAACGCCACTTACAAGTTCTGTAAAGTTGCCTTTGTCTTTGTTTTTCCTCTTCGGATCTCTTTTGCTCCCTTCCCTTTTCTCATTTGAGAGACTGTTTCCCGCTCAACCCCTGCCCTTGAGTTTTTCCCAATGTCAGCGCACACTTCAAACACCAGCTGACAAGCTCAGAAGAGTCCGCTGAGAATCCCTATTCCAAACAATTATTCGTCTGCTACACGCTGGCAGATTCTTCCCAGAGCATTATGCCTAATCAAAAGGTCCCTTTGACCCGTCAACAACACTGTGGACGTGCTAAATGTGCCTCTCGCCGGTAGGTGTGAATATAGTAATGATAAAGTGATGCACACATATGTTTAATATATATCAACAAGCATCCCTGCTGCCGATTCCTACACCCAAGAACGCCTGGAGAATTTGTTTTGCAAACTCTGTATCTTGAACCTTTGGCAGGCTTCAGGCAGTGACTGTACCTGGGAAAGTTTTGCTCAACAAAACAAACAGGCTTTCATCTTGTGAAACTAGATCATTTAATATAGATTAAAGCTGGGGTAAACCACCTCAGGAAACCTGTCCGCAAGCACTGAGAGCTTCTCTAGATACAGATTCTCCTGCGAGGGACCTTTCTAAACCCTAGTTTTTACTTTGCAATAAGTTTGCTCGAAAGTCTTGATGTTTAAATTAAAATTTTAAAATAGCCAAACCGACGACCCTTAAATCATGACGTGCATTTATAACGGCCTCACAGGAGTCAATGATTACACTCACTGATTAGAAACAAGATGATCAATAAAGATCACCGCCATGTTTTTGGAGTATCCATCAAGTGTTGTAATCTGCGAACGGAGCTTGATCTTTCAGCGCCCCTCCCTCAAACTCATCTCCACCACCTGAACCTCCTCTGCGGGCTTTTTTCATTTATTTGGAGAGCAGACGACTATTTCCATATTGATTGCACTGCAACTGTGGCCTTTTTGTTTGGTAGACCTCAAAGCCAGCATGAAATATGTGCCTGGCTAATGTATATCAGGTTGCAGATGATTAGTTTCAGCCTTATCAAGAGGCTGAGTGCTTCAATTTGGTCACTGCAAACCAACTATTCTTAACTAAAGTTATGTCCATTTAATTAAAGACCTTACTACTACACAATTCCTATACATTATGCAATTAAATGAACAACAGTGCCAAGACTGCATGCTGTTGTGTAGCACTTTTTAAATTTTCTTATAAACTATCATGCTGCTGACAACATTGCAGGCCTACTTTGTGTTCAGGATAGAATCTTCAACGCCAGTCCTTGAAGCTAATGCTAAATATCTAGGCTAATAACAAAAATTAGATAATAATAATAGTAATAATTAGTAATAATAGATAACTAATTAGTAATTGGTGTCTCAGAAAAAATTTGCTTATTCTTCAATGCGGATTTAAGTTAGACAACTAGGACACAATTGTTTTAGGACTTCAGATTCATTAACCTATGAGGGAAATGACTAGGAATAACAACCTGCTGTAAAATGTCAGAGTCAGACTTGCTCTACAAACAAGTTTATGACAATAAATAAATATAATAATTAGGAAAACAAACTAGCTTACAAAATCAAGAACCGTAACAAGCTGTTTTTTATGGTTAGAAATCAATGGAAGTGAATGATGGCGGAAGTCTGGAGACCTCACGTTTAAAAATAAGGTCTGCACAAGACTTTGATTTAATAAATAAAATAAAGTCTTCAGGAATGACAACAGTCACAATTTTCAGCCTGTAATACTGATTGAGGGGCAACACGGTGGCGCAGTGATTAGCACTGTCGCCTCACAGCAAGAAGGTCGCTGGTTCGAGCCCCGCCCGAGCCAGTTTGCATGTTCTGTTCATGTGGGTTTCCTTAGGGTACCCCGGTTTCCCCCGGTGAATTAGGTAAGCTAAATTGTCTGTACATGTCCTGGTCCTTCAAGTTGGGGTTGACCGTTGGGCTAACGATCCACCTCATAAAATCTAGATGTTACGAATCATCAATATGGTGCGGTTAAATATCAACTTCGATATAAAATGGCCCTGGGAGTAAGCACTTCTAATTGTAAGCCTAAAAACACAGGCTACATACTACATACATTTCCCATCATCAGGCCACATAACCTTTTACTTGAATGAGGATTTATTGATATTGGGTAAATGCCAGCAGTTAAACTCACGTTAGTCTTTGTAAAAAGCCATTTAACCTTCTGTCTCGTCCGCAATTTAATAGATTATAAATACTCGGCTGATCTGCCAATGACAAATAATTTATCTGAGCGGGATCAAAGCTTATGAACTTTTCCTTATTAATTTCGGCAGCTGAGTTTTGACAAGAGTGGCTGAAGCAGAGGCAGACATCGGGCCGTTGGTGCCAGGTGAGACCCGGGCGCAGGTTTGATCTCGTATACATGTATTCCTTCACTACTCTGTCTTTTGGGAGCTTCGTGCCAAGGTCAACATTGAAAGACGAGTGTGCGCGGTGAGATTCTCCTGCACGAGCGGCGCGCGCCTCTCTTTTGTTGTGCGCATCACCGCAGCTTCAGAGGCGGCGGATTGACACCAGTGAGTCCCCGGATAACAAGACATCGAGAGCGGTTTCCGTCCCCTTCATGGGAAAAGCGGGTATATGTTCTAATTGCATCATTAATATCATTAGGGATTAATTGGCTTCATCTTCTGCTTCGCTTTTGCAGTGTTGATAAGGCTCAAAGTGCAAGTTTTGATGACCTCCAGTCATTAGTGAATGAAAGAAATCTTGTCTCCGCTGGATGAATGGAGTTTCTTGATGTGTGCTTGAAGGACAGCTTTTATTGTGCGCGGGATTCATTTTCCTAAACTATTATCCGTTCGCGTATGTCTCTTTTAACCTTTATGGAAGATGTAGAGGTTTGGAGGAAGGCAGGAAAATTCAACAAGAAAACAAATGTGCTGATATACAATAAAATAGATGCTCAAGTTAAGTTTAAAAACTAAATAAACAACAACAAAACAGTTTTTAGCTAAAAAGCCACATAAAAGCATTGAGCTTATTTGGCTGAAATTAAAAAGGCAAATCAAAAACAAAACAGTTAAAACCAACATAGGGTCATTCTGACAACGTAGCCCTATATACATTTCCGGAGATCACGAATTGTGTAGCCAGAAGTACATATGGCTGCATTACGTCTTTAATACAAACGATATGGGGCGGTATGACGCCGTTCCTTTTCGCGCTTCCCAGCTGACTGATTACCCCGTGTAGACAGCTTTCCGCTGTTACCAGTTTGTTCAGTTAGCTCGCCATGTACGTAGGCGGACTTGAGACCACTCTGCGTGAGTTAGACAAAAACAGAAGCTAAAAAAAAAACAAGTAAATAAGGTGAGAATGTGGTAAAATTTGAAAACGTGGTAAAAATCAAGCAAGGGCTTTTCTTTTTCTGGATTGCTTTTGAAAACTCTCGCTTGGGTTTAGGGAAGGAGGAGGGTGGCTCAGTCGATTAGTCAGTCAGTCAGTCAGTCAGTCAGTCAGTCAGTCGACAGCAGCCTCTGGTGGATTTATGTAAGAACTGCAGACACGTAGTGCACTCGTAAGAGAAATTTGAGATCTAAAAAAGCATATGCAGCGGCCTCTAGTGGATTTGCGAAAACAAAAACTGCAAAAAAAATGTAGCTCCTAGGACGTATTTGACGCTCTCTAGAAATGTATATAGCGGTACGTTTTCAGAATGAGTTTGGGTTGGTTAAAACAAACAACTAAAGATGGCCTAATATTAGATAGACTATTACATAAAATCTTCATTTGGTTTGTTAGCAATACCAATCTTCCAACAATCCAATCGGTTCCCAAAGAATGAAATCACGCACCGCCCTACATTTCTTTCTTAAATTCCGTTTCATGGTGACTTTAAATTTATTTTTTAAAAACTCGTATAGCTTAAATCTCCAATAAATATGAAGTCTGTGTTAACCGGAAGTTGCGAAGACATTTCAGGATGCTGGTGTACATCCAAATAAAACTGAATATTGAGTTGGGTGTGGGGCTTTGTTTTTGCACATCGTTCCCTCATAGCAAACTAACGGTACTGGGGTGTGGTGAAGAATATTAAGGCTTAAAACCATCAAACTGACCTCCACTCCAAATGCAGAAGTGGTCAGACTTTGATTAAAGAATATTCATTGATTTTCCTTCAGATTAGTCCCTTATTTATCAGGGCTCACCACAGCGGAATGAATTGCCAACTATTGCGGCATATGTTATAGGCAGCGGATACCTTTCCAGTCACAACCCAGTACTAGGAAACACCCATATGCACTCACATTCACACACACTCATACACTACGGGCTTTTTGTTTACCCAATTCACCTGTACTGCGTGTCTTTGGACTGTGGGGGAAACCCGAGCACCCAGAGAAAACCCAAACACAGAGAACATGCAAACTCCACACAGAAATGCCCAGAAACTGGCCCAGATGGAACTCAAACCAGCAACCTTCTTGCTGTGAGGTGACAGTGCTAACCACTGAGCTACCATGCCACCCCTAGATTGTTCAGTAAACTATCTTACACAGATCAATAAATCGCCTAAAGACTAACAATATGTGTCAGCAAAATAAACATAGTAAATTTAGATTTCACACACTTTCAAATTAAAAGACAAGAAATACAATCAAACAACTTAAATGACCTAACTTAAACTGAAACAAAATCAGCACACAAACAAATAATAAATTGATTTAATGTGACTACTTCAAAAAATTTATTCATATATAATAATTGCAACATCAAAAAATTCAGCTAGTGACGAGCCCAGCTGCAGCTATATAACTATATTACATCCTGACTAGCATCTAACATGTAAAACGAAGTTGTCAAAAGCAGGTCCCCTAACACTTCACATACATCACGTGTGTGCAAATGGACAATATCTGTTTTGTCAAAAACTCCGAAACCAAGGACGCCAAAAACAAGCATGTTAACATGCAATCGACACCAAACTGTCAGGCCTGATGTCAGCTCAACAAATGCGACAAATTATTCATAATCTCACTGGCAGTGTTTCGAAGACAACTTCTGACATTCTGTCACAGATCTTTTACAGTCGTTTTGCTCTCTTTTGTCTCCCGGTATGTTAAAATTCAGCAGGAGAGAGAAATGACGTGCCAATGATAAGCAATGGCACCCTATCAGAGCGAATGCAACACACTGGATGTTTCTGTTTAAGCCTCCTTGAGCGACTCTCAGACAAATGAGGGAAGCATTAGACGTGTGTATGCTATTAATCACACAGAATAACATGTTTTCATAGCAATTGATTATGCTGCCGCTGGGTAATGTGTGCACAAACCTCTAAAATCCTGGCTTGTGATGAATGTGGTTGACAGGTGACTTGCGTGTCGGTAGAAATGTTTTTTTTTTAGCCTGGAAACAGAAACCCTGAGCGCACCATTTTTCACAAGTGCTTGGAGGAACAAAGGGAGAGAGAGAAAAAAAAACATGTATGAATAAAACAGCAGAAAAGCAATCAATCTGAAAGAAGACATTTGTCAGTGAGCGAGGGGTTGACAGAGTCAGTCAGATTGATTCAGAAAGCGGGTTACTGACACAATATACAGGAGTGCTTGCAGTGGCTACCTCATCTATGCCACACACGCTGGATTCAAATATAGGAATGGCTACTTAATACTAATCTAGCCTGGTAATGCTGGAAATCAGGGCCCAAATTTAATATTTGCCAGACCTGTCAATGGTTTATGAAATAAGATACATTTTAGTCCATAAATAAGCCTGTAAATTATTATTAATAATATTAATTATATTTAAAAACATTTTAATACAATTTTTATATAAATATATATATATATATATATATATATATATATATATATATATATATATATATATATATATATATATATATATATATATACATACAATAGTAAATGCCATATAAAATATTATCACTACTAGTATTGATAATAATTGTAATTATTATTAATAGTAATTAATGTATAATAATTATGTAAAATGTATATGCATAATGAACTTTTAATTAATAATAATAATAATAATACATGTTCATAATATACATAATTTTATTTTGTGATAATACTTTTAATTTCTTTCAAATAATTCTGTATGATGGCCAAAATCCTCATTATAATAAAAATACTTATTAAAACCATTATAAAATTACATATTAAAAATGACAAGGTACAACAACATTAATAAATGCTATATAAAATATCACTAATATTAAATATCATATTATTAAAATTATAATGTCAAATGTATTTGCATAATTATACTTTTATTAAAACAGAGTATTTGTAATATTAATAATAATAATAATAATAATAATAATAATAATACATGCTGTAAAATATACATCATGTTATTCATTTATGATTATACTTATAATTTCTATAAAATATTTTTGCAATAATAAAAGTTAAAGTAAAATATTTCTAGTATATTTTAGCATGAAATGGAAAAAAATATAATGATACAATTTTAATATGAGATTGGATGGATGGATGGATGGATGGATGGATGGATGGATGGATGGATGGATGGATGGATGGATGGATGGATGGATGGATGGATGGATGGATGGACGGACAGTAACAGAATAATAAATATGGATTTATTATATAAACAAAAAGTAAAGTTCCTTCTGTCCCTCAAGTTAAAAAAATGATATTAATATATTTATTTACCCTTATTGACATGTTGATAATAACAGTAATACATACTTATAGTATAAATAATTATATTATGCTAAATTTATAAATATATTCATTTCGTCATAATTCTGGGGGCTTCAAATACACAAAAGAATATTCTTCATGGGTCACGGATTTTCAATTCCTTAATTCTTTCTGTTCAATGCTTTCAAATCCACATCCACATATTATGTCAGAGATATAAAAATGAATAGTTACCTGCAAACTAGAGACAGAACTTTTATTTACTTGCCAAAGCTAATTTCACTTACATTTGCAGTTGGAAAGAGTTAATTTTGGACGCCGCTGGGAATGCTATTGTGAACCACCGAGTTTTACCGTTACAAGATTTCTGAGGGATGTTAAGAATTGTATCAGATTGCATGTCAAATGTAATGAAACACTTCAAATGCAAAACAGCGCCTTGAACAGACCTACATATTCTAATGAATAATTCACATGTAATTCAGTCATTCCCTTTGGCATTTCAGCTGTTTCCTGAGTTCATTTACATTTCATTCACTGCATGACCTCGTAATCAAATTAGACTGCCAGAACAAATGGATTTGTTCATAAAGATTTGAAAGAAAATGTGATATAGGACGGAAACAGATGAAACTAGGTCTGGTTATACATCACATATTCACAATATATTCAAGCTACTTTTGCAGCCAAACCACATAATAATAATAAACTTCAGTAGGAAAAATGGTGTTGGAGAGAAGTGTGAAGATTTTTTTTTTTTTTTGAAAGAAGTGATGTTTTACATTTTGAAAAAAACATAAAATAATGTCTGTTAAATTACATAAATATGCCGTAAAATAATAAATATTAAATTGCAAAAATTTACCAGAAATTTAAATTTAAGGAAATTTATTTAATTAAATATCTGTTACTTTACAATATATTTATGTAATTCAACGGCCATTATTTAAAGTTTTTTAACGTTTTTAATGTTTTTTTTTTTTTTTTACATTATTTAACGTTTAAAACAAACCATACAATTATAGATTTTTTTTTTTTTACAGTGTAGGTTTTTAATTTAGGCAGCTAAAATGCTGTCTAAAACAAGGCCTGAAATAATCATTAATAATAATATACATAAGAAGAAATTGATATTAATAATTGCGATAATAATTAATTAATTACAATATTAAAAATAATAAATTTTACATTAAATGTTTTTTTTGGTTAAATGTATTTAAATATTTCGATTTATTATTTGATATGTGTTCTTAAAAGATAATAATGCATGGATGAATATAATAATACTTCATTTATATTAAAGTGTATGTAGATTTCTGTAGATCATATTGGCAAACAAACACCAAGTTTCTTCTGTTCTTCAAGTTTTATAAAAATATAAGTTATTTATCTCCATAAAACAACAAGATATATTAAAATATAACTTTTAATCCCTTATAATATGCAGTACTTAGATTGTTTATTTTGGCTGATTAAAGTGTCAGCGAAAATCAAGATTAATAAAATACATGTATTAAATCTGCCATCTACTGTATTTCAGCTCATATGAAACAAAAACCACAAGTGGGGTTGATTTACTGCCTAAAAAAATGAAAATATAAGGAAAAGAGCTTGGGGGAAAAAACAGTGAAAAGAAGCAGAGGAGAGGAAGTGTTGTCTGTGGAGGAGAGAATCAATCGCTCAGTGTTATCTGGCCTGGTGGCTCGGGCCACACGGCTCCAGATTGCAGATGATCTACATGCCTTTATGTAAGTGAAGCTAATCTGTCATGGCCTCGGAGAGGTGGAGACGCAGGCGGAGAACTGGAGCTCCATCACTCTTACTCTACACTGAGTCACTGCTGATGAAACACACACACCACAGTCAACCACACACACAATCAACACGTGGCAGATGCAAAAAAGATGGACGGATGGATGGAGAAGCAGACAGAGGGATAAAAAGAGAAATAAAACAATAGTGATAAAAAGATTAAGGCAGGCATGACAGAAGAACAGAAAGAACAACAGAATGGATAGACGGATAGAACAAAGAATGATAAAATAGATTAAAGCAATGACAAAGATACAATAGACTGACTAATAACAATAAGAAATTGATTGATAGAATGATAGAACGATAGATAGAACGACAGATTGAATGACAGACAGCGATAGATGGATAGATAGATAGATAGATAGATAGATAGATAGATAGATAGATAGATAGATAGATAGATAGATAGATAGATAGATAGATAGATAGATAGATAGATAGATAGATAGATAGATAGATAGATAGATAGATAGATAGATAGATAGATAGATAGATAGATAGAAAAAGGAATGATAGAATATAGATAAGAACAATGACAAAGATATATAAAAATATATAAACAGAACAATAAAATGATGGATAGACAAATACATGGATGAACAGACGGACAGACAGAAGAATTAAATTTAGATAAGTTGAAACAAAGACAAGGATAAAACATATAGACACAACAATAGAATGATAAATGGATGGATGGATGGATGGACCAAAGAATGATAGAATATAGATAAGAACAACTGAGATATGTATATACATATAACTGAGAATATATTAACAGAACAATTGAATGAACGATGGATGATGGATGGATGGATGGATGGATGGATGGATGGATGGATGGATGGATGGATGGATGGATATAGACAAATAGAACAATAGATAGAAGGATAGATAGATAGTGAAAGAACAGTAGATAGAACGATGGATGGATGGATGGATGGATGAATGGATGGATGGATGGATGGATGGATGGATGGATGGATGGAAAGATGGATAGATGGATAGATGGATAGATGGATAGATGGATAGATAGATAGATAGATAGATAGATAGATAGATAGAGATAGATAGATAGATAGATAGATAGATAGATAGATAGATAGATAGATAGATAGATAGATAGATAGATAGATAGATAGATAGATAGATAGATAGAATATGTAGGCAGACCGATAGAATGAACGACAGAATGATTGATAGAATGATGGTAGGGTGGATGGAGCAAAAATGAAAGAATATAAAGAACACTGACAAAGAGAATATAAACAGAACGATAGCGTGAACAATGGATGGATGGATAAAATGATAGGTAGAACAATACATAGATAGAACAATAGATAGAATGATACACAGATAGAACGATAGATAGTTGGACAAATAGACAGAATGACAATACAGACAGGTCAGATACTGAATGGATAGATACAAATTTTTATTGCAAAAGTTTTTCTTTCTTTTCCCCTCCCAAATCAGGGCTTTAATCAAGTTCTAAATAATTCTTTTAGAGTGTTAATTAGCTCCGTCTTCTGGCCTCCCGCTGCTTGTGTCTCTCTCAGGACTGCTAAAACCAGCTCTACAATAGTGCTTATGCAGGTGTTATTAAGCTTTTGTGAAACCAGCTTTTACTGTGAATACAAATCTATCCTTGCTCCAGTTTTTCCGACCGAACTTCGCCAAGTTTCCACCCCGCTCCATGCACTCGCACCTCTCCGGCTCATTCCCAATTCCACAAATTAATTCAGTCATTTATCCTCCATCCCAGTCAAGGGCACGGCCCGCGATCTCTTAATTAAAGAAGAAAGAGAGAGAGAAGAAAAAAGAAAGTTCTCTGTCTTCAAACGAAGCTCCAACCGGCACGCGGCTTTATCTGATCATTTAAACTCTCTTAACCCCTCTTAATTAATCCCAAACACACACTTCTGACATCCAGCGCTTGATTAATGAAATTAGCTGAGCGGAAGTCAAATAACATCAGGCTCGGACAGCGATAGCGTAACCCCAGGTGCAGATTACCAGATCTGCACGCCTGTCGGAGGAACAAGCGCTGCTGGGAATGGCAGATATGAGAAAGTGATGCAAGAGGCCTTTGCGCTGATGAAAACTGAGCACTTTTTACTTCTGATGGTTCAGGTTGCAGCATGTCATGCAGAAATCTGGAGATGTTCTTGGGTTGTGTTATTCTACAAGACTCGCAGAAAGAAAAGTCATCATCGTCGAAAGTTTTTACAATATAGGACTGCATTTTAGGATTACGCTTTTTTATTTGGTGACACGTTTTGAAAAAGGTTTCATTTTGTAACTGATCACATGAATGGACAATGCACCTATAGTATTTATGATTATTACTTAATGTCCTTTTAATATTACAGCACCACATTTTAAAAATAAAAAGTAATTGTTATATTGGTATGTTGTATATTATGGAAGCTTGTTTTCACCATAGTATAACTGCAACGTTTTTCTGGAATAATCCTAGTTCTGGCATACATGCAGCACTTTATGTATTTGCAATTTGCAGATGGGGAAGAATTTGAACTGCAAGACATAAAGCCAGAAATTTAATTTATTTATTTCAACTGTAAATTTACAGGCTCTTAAAGTTCTTAATTTATTTGACTTTATTACTTAAACTCTAGAAATTCCGAATATATAGCTCACATCTGCAAGTTTATACTGTAGGTTTTCTAGCAATTCTGACTTTGTCAAAATTCAGTGCTTGCCTCTTGCAATTCCAGCTTAATTCTTTCACATTTGTTCATTTATAACATTTCTTGCCGTTCTGTCTTTACTTTCGAAGTTTATTCAGAAATTGCATAACTATTTTTCACTTCTGAGAGCTTTTATGCTTTCACACAATTCTGACTTTATTTCTCGCAATTAATAATCTATATTTAATTTATTCATTAATTATTTTTTAATATGCTGCGCACATATATATATATATATATATATATATATACTTGCATCTTACAATTCCAGCTTTGTTTGGAATCGTTTATTTATAGGATTCTAGTTCTGTCTTTTTGTTTTTCCACAATTGCAAGTCACAAGGCTCCACTGCTGCTAATAATCGCAAATCCTGAATTAATATTTCCCAATTTTCGATGTTTTAAATACTTCCACACAATTTTGACTTTATTTCTTATAATTAATAATCTATTATTCCATTATTCATTAATTAATTCCTAAATTACTGCATCTTTATATATACTTGCTTTGTTCATTTCTAACCTTTCTTGCTGTTCTGTCTTTATTATCAAAATTTTTCTCTCTCAATTCTAAGTTTATATCAACTTTTGACTCAACTTTGACTGTATCTTTCATAACTGCAAGTTTATTTGCTCATACAATTCTGACATTTTTTCCTGCAATTGTGCTACTTTATTTTTTATTTCTGAAAGTTTATATGCTGTCACACAATCCTGACTTTATTTCTCATAATTAATAATCTATTATTCATTTATTCATTCATTTATTCCTAATATACTGCATCTTTATTAATACTTAGATCTTGCAATAACAACTTTGTTTGGATTTGTTTATTTATAGGATTCTGTCTTTATTTTCTGAGTTTTTCCACTAATGCAAGTTACTAAGCTCTCACCGCTACTGATAATCATAATTCCTGAATATTTATCACCCAATTTCATTTTAAATGCTGTCACACAATTCTGACTTGATTTCTTGTAATTAATAATCCATTATTAATTTATTCCTAATACACTGCATCTTTATACATACTTGCATCTTGCAATTCAAGCTTTTTTGTGTTTATATTTTGTGTCCTATATTTATTTATAGGATTCTAGTTCTGTCTTTATTTTCTGAGTTTTTCCACAATTGCAAGTTACTGCTGCTGATAATCAAAATCCTGAATTTAAATCTCCTAATTTTGATGTTTTAAACGCTTTCACACAATTCTGATTTTATTTTTTTTATAATTAATAATCTATTATTGTTATTATTTAATTTATTCCTAATATACTGCATCTTTATATATACTTGCATCTTGAATTTCAAGTTTTTTTGCGCTTGTTTATTTATAGGATTCTGTCTTTATTTTCTGAGTTTCTCCACAATTGCAAGTTAATAGGCTCTCACTGCTGTTGCTAATCACATTTCCAGGATTTATATCTTCTTGCAATTCTGTATTTAAATCATGCAAACTTTTTCTCATCATTTTGTGAAACAAACAATTGTGCGTTTAAAACTGCAAGATATTCTGTGATGAAACAAGATTTCATAGTGTAAATATTACTCATTGCTAATTCATGTTAGCCTAATCATTTACTAACACTAACAAATGAAGTCCTTAACACAGTAACTTTTTTCATAATTGACCTTATAAACACACGTGATGGCTTAGTTATTGCATTCTTGGCTGATCTGAACACCTTTCTTTCTCCCGAACCTCCATGTTTTTGCATTTTTCTTTCCCTCAGATTTAGGCCATGGGAAGTTCATGATAGGCAGGATATCTTCCGGTCACGTAGTGGTAAATCTGTAACAATAAAAAGCCAGTTTAAAATAACACTGAGCCTCAGTTAAGCTGATAGAAAAACACTAAGCATATAAATAAGAGAGCTAATCTATATCCTACACAGCACAGGAGACCAGAACCATGATGCCGGACTCCCTGAATAGTGTCTGTTTCCAGCCATAATGGATGGTAATTATCAGTTTATCACACTTGAAGCTGAATCGAGAGTGTGAAGCGCTGCACAGCTTTAATTACCTGCCGCTCGATGTCAGCTAACAGGCTGCTTGCTCCGAGTCGGAAAAGGTGTGGATTGAGCCAGTCGTCTCCGAGTTCTTCCTTCATCAGCGTCAGCCAAACCACAGACTCCTGCGCTGTTCGGATGCCTCCCGCTGGCTTGAAACCCACCTGAGGATCAACGAACGCATCAGTCAAACAGGGTTTATGTAAAATAAGGTGGTTTTCAGAGGTATGAAGGGGGCTTTACTTTGTGGCCGGTCTTCAGGTAGTAGTCACGAATGGCACGCACCATTACAATGGCTACCGGGTAGGTTGCATTGACTGACTCTTTGCCGGTTGAAGTCTTGATGAAGTCAGATCCTGGTGGTTAGAAAGTCAATGAGGTCAATTATGATAAAAGTTACTATATTAAGGACTTTATTTGTTAGTGTTAGGAAACGATTAAGCTAACATGACCTAGCAATAATTAATATTTAAATTATGGAAGCTTGTTTTCACCAAACAATAGCTTGACATATGACCACTGGTACTTGTTAGAATTTGTTATGATGAAACAAATGTTGATGTCATCAGATATTTAAAAGTTTTATTAAAATATAAAATTGATCGATGTGTAATTTTGATTGATTTTGTTGATGTTTTGGTTTATATACGTTTTTATTTTCAAAGAATTTTTCTATAAACGTCTTGTGGTTGTGCATTTAAAGTTTTTGTAAATATGTCAATATAGTATTAAACCATTTTCATTTTAGTTTTAGCTCTTTTTAAAGCAAAAAAGCTTCAGCTTGTCAACTAGCTGAAATTTATTTGTTTTTGTATAAAAATTTAATTCATAATTTGTTTTATTTCAATCCACAAAAATATTCGTTTTATGGCATTATGGAAATATGATATACAGTTGAAGTCAGATATTAGCCCCCCTTTGAATTTGTTTTTCTTTTTTAATTTTCCCACATCTTCACTCCGTTAAACAGAAAAATAAACAGGGGGCTAATAATTCTGACTCCAACTGTAAATTCAAAGTATTTTTAATTAACATTTATTTCAATTAATATATATGATTATTTTAAAAAAATCATGGAATTTCTACTTTTGAAGAAACTATTGATAGTACCTTCAAGATGTCAAAATACACTATTGAGAAAAGTGCTAAAAATATTTTGATTATAGTTTCATATTCACTATAGTTTGATTATAAACTTGCATAAAATAGCACATAATTTTACCCTCTTAGGAAAATATGATTTGTTCCCCCAAACAATATTTAAGAATTAATAATGAATAATATTTGGAAAAAATATTTTTTTTTTTAAAAACCCAGAGATGGGTTGCGGCTGAATGAATGAATGAATGAATAATATTTGCAAAAATAAAAATCAACAAAAAATCTACTGGGGTACAGCTTTATGTAATGAATTTAAATGTATCCAGGGTTGAGGTAACGAGAGTTACATAATAATATTACTTTATTAAGTAACAAGTAATGCATTACTTTTAAAAATTAAGTAATAATATTTGAGTTACTTTTGTGAAAATGTAACACGAGTTATTTTTTAACTTTAATTAGCTTTTTGTGAGTTCATACTAAGCTAATGATTGATAATAAAGTTTATTTGGCATGCTATCCCAGGAGAGCTTAGAATATCCTCAAGCCCGGGGCTCCCTTCTACTTGAAGGGCGAGGGGGAAGTTTGAGCTCAGGTAGGTCTCAAGAACTCTCCTGCTTGTAAACGTGCTGAGATTTATCTGGCTAAGAGTTGTCTTAAGATGCTATTTTGCAGTAGTCAATTTACTCATGGTGTATGTATTTAAACGGTGAGAGGAAACCAGGAAACTAGGGGGAAACCAAGGTGAACAGGGGAAGAACATGCAAACTCTGCACAGAAATGCCAGCCAGCATGGTGAGGGGCTGAACCGGCGGCGTTCTTGCTGTGAGGCAACAGTGTTAACCACTGGGCCGCCATGCCACCCTATCAGAAAAGGGGAGGAGTAGGGGTGGAAGGGGGGATTCTGGAAAACTCCAGTATTGATCTGTATTCATCTGATTGGTGCAATATACGGCGACAGGCACGTGCACACATAGGGCTCAACCTGTGCAGTGCACATGCCCTTTTTAGTCTTGGATAGAAAGTGCCCTTCTAAAATGATTTGAAGTGCCCCCGCATGCCCACCGCCCCCACCACCCGCTCTTCAGTTTGCGACAACACCCAACCGCCACCAACCAGTTACTAAACTTGTTCCTGGAGGGCTGGTATCCTGCAGATTTTAGCTCCAACACTAATCAAACACACCTGAAAACTCTAATCAAGGTCTTACTGGGTATACTTAAAACACCCAGACAGGTGTGTTGAGGCAAGTTGGCGCTAAACCCTGCAGAGCACCAGACCTCAAGGAATGAGATTGGTGGTGACCCCTTGACCTAGACCAAGAGTGTCCAATCCTGTTCCTGGAGATCTACCTTCCTGCAGAGTTTAGTTCTGACTCTAAACAACTACTAAAAAACAACTAAACCAGCTAAGTAGGATCTGAAGGAACACAGGTGTGTTTGATCAAGGTTGCAGGAAGGTAAATCTCCAGGACCAGGATTGGGCACCCCTGGCCTAGACCGTCTGTCAGGGTTTAGAAGGCCCTGCTGCCTCCCTTCTAGTTATAATCTTTATTTGAAGGTCACGCTGCATGACATTTTCAGAGTCATTCTTTTAAAATTTTGTCAGAGAATGACATGCACTGTGAAACTCCAGGTAAAGCTGTCTAGTAACTTCAATTCTTCATTGACAAAAATCCTCCACCTGACACTCCTTTTTTGTTCAGACTGACCGGTCAAAGTTCACTCAGGCTCTGAAAATAGAAAGCCCAGCTCATTTTTAGCACCTCCACCGAGGCCTGTTCGGAGCAAGCGTCAGACTCAGGACATTAGTCGCCAAGGCCAGAGACGGCTAGACAAGAACATATGGTCCCGTCGGCAGGGTGTGCGTTCCTTCATCAATAAGAGCTCTCATTTCTCTCCCTTCATAGCCAATTACGGTTTATCAGGGTCCCGATAAAAATAGAAGATAAAATGACGCTGCTAATGGATGGAGCACAAACTGTGGAGCGGCTCGAACCCGCGTCCCGCCTGCCCTTCCTCACGTCTAATGACTGTTCATTACCGCGCAGAACAAGATGAACATTTTCCAGTTCATTAAAGATACGTTTCTATGTGTTTTTTTTCCCTGCGACACTCTTTCACTCTATTGCTCAGCCTCTCCCTCAAACTGACATAATCCTTGAGATTCGTTCTGGGGAGTCTTAATTACACGATAATGGATAACGGTTATTAAACGCCGGCGACAGTAATGAAGCTCTATTCATTTGCGGCGGAGCGGGGGGACACTGCCGGAGAGCGTGGGAGTAAAATAGCTCCGGCGTCGCAGATTAATAGGTGAAATTATCATTCAATTTCAGAAACCTCATACGCAATTCATAGGAACAAGGGGAGATTAAGGAATGAGCGCGGCGACAAAAGCAATGCATTTTAATAACGATCCCTATCAGAGCCGCTGACAATTGGGTACAGTAATCGGCTTAATGTGCAATGGCTATTTAAGCATACAGTGCCTGGCCTGCTCTCTCTCTTTCTTTGTATGTGTGTGTGTGTGTGTGTGGACATCTGCATGCAGAGCGCTGAAAGAATGAGTAACGGCGCCACGCTGTGGGCAAAATATAGAACTTGTTAAGATAAACAGCCCTTTTTTTACCATAAAGAGTAAAGTGGAACTCATCGGCTAGAGCTATGAATTTGCATATTTTAATAACTATATTTGTTTATATTATTATTCATTGTGTTGAAATGATTAAAATGTACTTAAAAATGTTTAGTTGCTTCATTAATGCCATATTCATTATAATTTGTTTTATAATTAAATAATAAACAAACAAAAAAAAAATATTCACTTATCATGAACTTGTTTAATTAGAACATATATTCATATGAATAAAATAATGTTTATAATAAATAACATTCAAAAGCAATGTGGTGCACACCAATATTTTAGAAAACCACTTTAGACATTAAAAAACATTTACATTTAAAAATATACAATTATAATTAATATTTTGATTTAAAATGATACACGTTTTTTGGAAATCATAATAGTTATTTGTAAATAGAAATAATAGTATTTGTTTAATTTCCCAGTACTGGGTTGCAGCTGGAAAGCCATCCACTGCATAAAACATATGCCGGTTTGTTTACATATAATAGTTGGCGGTTCATTCCGCTGTGGCAATTCCTGATAAATAAGGGAGTAAGCCGAAGGAAAATGAAAAATTTAATTTTTTTATTGCAGTCAACCAGAATACTGCAAAAAAATACTTTCCTTACTTATTATTTGTCTTGTTTCTAGTCCAAATATCTAATGATTCTTAAATCAAGAAGAATTTTCTAGACAAGCAAAACATATTGTCTTGTTTTAAGAAATAATATCCAAAAATGAAGCGAGCTTTTCCTTAAAACAAGCAAAATAATCTTATGTCAAAAGGAAAAACAAGATTGTTTTTTTTATCCCATTGGTAGATTATCTTGCTTGTTTTAAGAAAAAACTAACTAATATTGGCATATTATTTCTGAAAACAAGACTATATGTTTTGCTTGTCTAGGAAATGCTTCTTATTTTAAGAATTTTTAGATATATGGACTAGAAACAAGACAAAAAATCTAAGTATTTTTTGCAGTGTTATGACTTTCCTTTGGACATAAAGACTGCAAAGATACCCCTTTTGCAAATTAAACAATCCCTCTAATGTCCTCACCTGCCATCATGGACACCAGACTGGCCTTATAGACGTTTGTGAAAGTTCCCAGTTCTCCTACCGCCAGGATGCTTTTCATATGAGCGTCTCCACAGGCCTCTCTGAACTGCCGGATCTCCTCATAGAGAGCTGAAGAAATCATATAATCAAAATTGACAAAAAATAAACTGATGTCTAAGTGTACATAATATAAAAAAACAACAGGTTTAACACTATTTTCAGATCAGGGGTGCCCAATCCTGTTCCTGGAGAAAAATCAACTAAACCAACTAAGTGAGGGCTGAAGGAGCACTTGGTGATTAAACACAGGTGCATTTGATCAAGGTTGCAGTTGAAGGTAGATCTCCAGGAACAAAATTGGACACCCCTCTGTAAGATGTTTTTTGGGGAGAACTATATATTGATGCACTGTATAGCACTAAAATTAAACTGTTTACTTAATATTTTAAATGGTACAATTTCAGTTTTTTATGCGTTGCTTTTCTGAAGTTCACCGGCCCATGGCATGTTTTGTAAACTGCCAATTAAGAGTAAATTAGGAGGCAACACATTCAATCTTGCCAAATGTTTTTTGATTAAGAGATCAACACACAAGTACATCATTTATCTGATTTGAGACTTTCGTTTTTAATACTGATCAACAAGCATACATAACAATACATGAAAGCTCAAGTGTTAAGGTGTTTAAGTCTTTCGGCCAGTGAACAGGAGACACACTTCATTCATTTACACTTTATTATCTGTAAACTTTTAACTACTTCAGCCTCATTTACAACATTGCACAATTTATATGAGCTAAACGGTGCGTCTTCGCTGGTATTCTATTACTTTGTTATTATAGTCCTGTTTAATACATTCCTACATATGTCAAATGCCTTAATATTTAGGTTTTTAGGTAATTGAAGCTTTCCCATGTTTACAGTGAGTCTGAATTCATTAGACTACAAATATCTGCACTTCAAACACAATCAGCAGGGTTCATAAACACTTATTTTTTTACTTGTTCAAATACTTATTTAAAATGAGCTGAAACAACACAATTCTTGAGATTTCATTAGGACAAATTATCTTTTTAATGTTCAATTCACATAAATTTGTTTAACGTGTCAAGTTAATAAATGCATTGTGTGGAACCCTGCATTTTTTACAGTGTACTACAAAAATTTCAGGACTTTTCCAAAGCTTTCAGGTAAATTTGCAAGGTCCCATGAAATTAAAATAAACATTTGTAGATGTTAGTATCAGTATTAGGAGATTTAAAACTGTAATAAACAGTGTTGTATACAGATATCTGTTAAACAAATTTCCATGCATTTTCCAGGTTTTCCAGGACCGTACAAACCCTGAATCAGGTCAAATGCTTGCTCATTTACATCTGGATGTGAGGTATAAATGTTATAAATGTTGATCATTCACTGCTGAGGGATGTCTAATTTATATAACACTGAAAATATATAAAAAATATCAACTTTGAGTTTAATTTAACTCATTTTCCAAAATCAAAACTCTGCTTATATTCCTATACTAATATTATTTGTTTCTATCAGCTAGTGAATGAGACACAAACTTGATTCATTAATCCTTCTTCTGTTCACTTTTGACTACTTCAGCCTCAATTCCAACATTGCACAATTTAAATGAGCTAAACGATGCGGCTTTGTTGGTATTTTATTACTTTGTTATTATAGTCCTATTTAGTATATTCCTACATATATCAAAGGCCATAATATATCACTTAATACAGGTTTTCCCATGTTTACAGTGAGTCTGAATGCATTAGACTACAAATATCTGCACTTCAAACACAACCAGCAGGGTTCATACACATTTTTACTACTAAAATTCCAGGAATTTTCCAAAGCTTTCAGGTAAATTTGCGACTTCCCATGAAATTAAATTAAATATTTGTCGATTTTAGTATGAGTATTATAAGTTTTTAAGATATCTATAAGCTAGCGTGCTCCAAAATTTGTGTTTAGAAGATTTAAAACTGTAATAAACAGTGAAATTAACCCAATGTTATCAAATTAAAGCATATTCAAGTACACATATATCTGTTAAACTAATTTCCAGGCATTTTCCAGGTTTTCCAGGACCGTACAAACCCTGAATCAGGTCAAATGCTTGCTCATTTACATCTGGATGTGAGGTATAAATGTTATAAATGTTGATCATTCACTGCTGAGGGATGTTTAAACTAAATAACACTGAAAATATATCAAAAATATTAACTTTCAGTTTAATTTAATTAATTTTCCAAAATCAAAACTCTGCTTATATTCCTATGCTGATATTATTTGTTTTGTTGGAGTGAATTTCTGTCTTCACATCCGTCCAGGAAGGATCAACGTTTATCCCTTTTCTCATTACTTTATTATATTGATTATTTGAATTAGTATTTAATCTTTGAAATGATTTTGACTAATGAATAAAGTTAAACATTACCTAACGTAGAAATGTTCAGTTGAAGTGCCTCATGTTAACCTGACAGGTCACAATTGTCTCTTCACCCTTTCGATTTATTTTAGTACTGATACCAAGGTATTACATTCTGTTATTGTATGTAAGCTTAATGATATTGTTTACACACACACACACACACACACACACACACACACACACACACACACACACACACACACACACACACACACACACACACACACACACACACACACCTGCCCACTGTCCAGTGAGTGCCAATGTCCGGTTTATGACGATATCAATTTCTGCAGCACCGTCCTTCACAGCCATCTGGACTTCCTCGAGACGGGTCTTCAGTGGCGTCTGTCCAGCAGGGAAACCAGTGGCCACTGTAACGTAGAGAAAGATCTGTAAACAACATGAGGCGAGACAATGCTGTTGCACCCTCTCTAGGATGATGACTAAAGAAAGAATTAAGTGTTTTTTGAGATAAGCGGTTTCTAACGGCATACCCGACGCAACAGGAAGACTGGAGTTGGCAGCTTTCAGAGACTTCACAGCGTCAGCCACCCGTGATGGGTACACACACACAGCTGCAGTCGAGATGCCTTGAAACACACACATGCACTCATAAACACACTCGAGCAGTGTTCCAACTATATTTTCAATGCACAGACAAAAATTAATAATAAATGTACAAAACATGAATAAACAAACAAAAAGACACTTAAAGGTTCTGTTTATGTATGCTATTTATTATGTTGCACATTACTATTATTAAATTTAGTCAGTAAGTTAATAAGTTACTGGTCAATTCACATAAACAATTTCTTTGAAAAGAGCTTTGTCTCCCTCTTGTGGGCAGATATAAAGATATGTGATCAATACTGAAAACATTATACAAGATAAATATATATAAATATATATAGATCTTAATATTTAAAACATTATTTTTCACATTACTACAATTTATAAAATAAAACCAGGGATTGACATTAACTTTTTTGATCTCCAGCCAGTGTGGCTAGTAGTTTTCCAACATTACTAGCCACTTGCCATTTTCACTGGCCACAATCTTGTTGTTGAATAAATAGATATTATAAAGAGAAAATATAAATAGACTTTGGCGTGCTAAAATTATTCGATTTAAATTCTGTGTTATGTCCACATGCCTCCTTAACTTTTTTATTTAACATGACTTTTTAGGGCTCAACACTTAGGATTTACCTTTTTTTTTTCTCTGGCCGCTCTAAACTAATTATTTCTTTGTCATAATTTTTTTAAAGTGTCAAAACAAGCAAAATATAGCTGTATACCTACACTTTTTACTCAAAAAATATTCTTAAAAAACATTGACATTTAAAAAAATTATTCTAATTTATCTAAAACTATATGCAGTAGTTTATCCAGGTCCCAGATCATCAGGTAACTATAGATAAATGGAGAGTTAATATCCTATTATGTTTATATTATGTTATTGTAAAGGATGATAAATAAACCATATCAATAAAAATAACTGTAAGCAAAAGAAAGCAGGTGTGAACCATTCTGTGTGCAATGGTGAAAGTATAATCAGGTGAACACTGTTACTGTTGGGTCCATTAATAATCTGTTCAAAAAATGGTAAAAGCGAAAGCGGCAACAGTTGCTGCTTCCAAAAATTCTGGATCTCTTGAAAGCAGCAGGACTGTGGGTGCGCGAGGATAGCCTGTGTCGAATCCATTTGCCTGATCATCCTCTCATTCAGTAATCACCTGCTTTCTTTTGCTTGTGTGAAAAGTTATCAATCGTGCGGCTTCTCTGTTCTAAGATCACATTTGCGTGCACTGTGACAAACAATCTTAAAAATACATTTTAATTTTTAGGGACGAGGCAAATCTGGCAGTTTAAAAATAACTTCAACCAGCCAAAGTGGATAAAGGGGTTGTCTGTCTAAGCCACAACAGTTGAGATCTACCTACATTTGACAGGTGTTAATGTCAAGCCCTGAATAAAACATACAATGTTTAAAAGTTTGGGTAAATATATAGTAAAAACAGTAATACTGTAAATATATTTTGAATTTAAAATGTATATATACTATTTATTTTAAATAGATTAATATTATTAAATTATTTTACTTTATATTACAATGTATTATCAAAAAAAATACAGCATTTTGGCCATTTAATAATGACTTATTAACTTGTCATTAAGCTTTAGCAGTACCGGTGTAATTATCCAAGTCTCTGAATTTATTTGACACTTTTTTTTTTTTATCTAACAAGCTAACTGTAATTTGGGTTAATTTTTTTACCTACATTTAATAGAAAAAAAACACACATTTGACACTGAAACTGCAATATGACTGACAGAAAACAACAGAGACAGAATCACTCATTCAAGTGCACCAACAGGATTCAAGTGACAAATCCCTGCAAAAAAATCCTCCAGGCAGACCTTTGTCATGCATGTCCATGCTCTTCAGCAGATCATGTCTTATGGGCTGTGTGGCCTTCATACACAGTCGATGGACATTGGAAGGAGTATCGTCACCGGCGAGGGTCGTCAGATCGATGCATGTGACAGCCTTTAGCAGCCAGGCAGCCTACAATAGCAGAGGAGGTGAATGTATGTTATATTTAAGTCCGGCAAATCTAATAATTATGTCTGACAAATCTTGCAGCTTGTTTACCTGCCACTGCTTCTTGGCCATTTTGCGTCCCTGGATCTGCTGAGCTCTTTTATGAACAGCCTGAGTGTTGACCCTGACTTTTGACACCCATTCCAGATCTAAAATAAAGCAAGAATAAATGACATAAAATAACTTTAAAAGGGCAGATTTGTATTTGTCCTTTCTCCCTTCTTCTGTTAATGCGAGTCATGAGACACATGGGTCATGGGAGATTCATCAAAGGCATTTCATTTCCATTCATCTCAGAATCAGCAGCATACATGAAAACAAGAAAGAAAAATAAAACCACATTCAACATTCACAGGACATGTTATGAAAGTTATAAGTGAGTTAATAACTGCTGGAGTTAAAGATTAACCACACAAAACACAAAGAAGATACTTTGCACTTCATGTAAAATAGTTTAAGTGAAGCCAATATGTTTACAACTCTGTTTTAAGAAAATGTGTTTGTAAATAGTAATAGTATAGTGATACAATATAGTAATGGTATAGTTTTTATTTATATTATTGAATGAAACCTTATCACGTGGGAAAGTAGCGGTATTAAAGTAAGCTTCGTTTTGTTTTGACTGTAAACATAATAAGAACGAAGATGTACTAACCAAGGTGCATTCCTGGATTTCTCGCAGACATGATGAAATGTAAATCACTGAATGAAATAAATTGTAAAAATCCGGTTGTTTGACAAGCTGCAGCTCCTCACGTTGACAGCTTACGCTACTTGCCGTCTTCCTGGATTGCTTGCTAGTCACTGATACGTCAACGCTCTCAGCCAATCATTTCACAGCTAAGCAAGGCGTAGAATAATGACGTTTTTTGTATTTACTAAAAGGCTCGTTTGAGGTGCACTATGGCAAGCCGTTTTAACATTTACTACTTTGTTTTGACTATCCATAAATATATTTAGAGATATCTCTAATTATATTTTGACTAGTCAGAATGACAATTAGAGATATCTGCAATTACAATTGTACTAGTACGAAATCATATTGGAGATATCTGCAAATATATTATGACTAGTCATATTCCTCCATTGACTTCCATTGAAACATATTTGCAGATATCTCTAAATGAGTTTTGACTAGTCACAATTGTAATTAGAGATATCTCTAAATGAATTTCGACTAGTCACAATTGTAATTAGAGATATCTCTAACTGAGTTTCTACTAGTCGTAATACATTTAGAGATATCTACAAATATTTGAAGATATCTCTCATTAATTTACTATTAGTCGAATTACAATTGTATATCTTGAATTGGATTTTTGACTAGTCAAAATTCATTTAGAGATATCTTGAAATGGAATTGTGAGCTTTGTGACTAGGAAGAATATAATTGTAGATATCTTTAATTAACATTGTGACTAGTCAAAACTCTGTTGTAGATATCTGTATTGTATATTCAAATCACCTGCTTTGCTTAACCCCGCCTAAATTATTACGCATTTGGTATTCGAGCGCGCCAATAGGCCTTTTCACACTTCCTGGTTCCGGTGTTAGCGAAACAGCGTCCCAACAACATACGGTTTAAATGCGACGGACTAAATATCATATGAAGAAAAATATTAAATTAAAATACTACTGAAACAATAGCACATGCATTTAGTTAATTTGTCTTTTATTTAAGAAAGAATGGCAGGGTCATCTCATCGCTGTGATTGCTGCGTTCTCGGCTGCTCCAACTGAAGAAAACAACACCCTTACTTTAATGACCACGATCTCCCGAAAGACGAAGGACAGGGAAAATCATGGATGACATTATTAGAGGGGTTGAATGCCGTTTCAAGTTATATGCGGGAGTACGTTCGTATGCTGTATGCACTTCAAAGCGGAGATTATCATGTTTTATTAAAGACTGGTGGTCTTAGTTTTATTTTGATGAGTAACGTTAATTATAATAGAGACAAAACTCCAATTAAGATATCTGCCTTCTACAAACAAGTGCTCATCATGGTCATTCATCTATAAGCATGATTTCTCCCCACTTTGTTGTTATTTTGGAATAATAGACAATTCATACAAACGCAAATCTCGCAAAAATGCAAAATTATTTGTTTAGTCAGTTATATAATAAAGATGGTATACTTTTCTTACAACGGAGTCCTTTTTCGTTACAAAATCTCAATAACCCAGCAAGTTTTCTACTGTTATTGGTTCAATTCCTTTGGAGACATGTTATTCATTCATGTTATTTAGATGTATTAATAAGACAATCCTTCTGATGCAATGTCTTTTGATATTACTAAATCTTATGTCTGCAAATTTTGTTTTACTAAATACCAAAAGTAATGATAGAGCTATTCTCTTTTCCAAAAAGAAATGATTACTGTACCTCATATCCAATTTTATGTCTTTATTAAAGGGTGAATTAAATAAGTTTGGCTGTTACCACAGAAATATCATGTTAGAAATAGAATTAAAGAAATATCCTATAAACTTATCCACAGGTTTTATCCAGCAAAACATTGTTTGCGAAAAATTAAAAGTGGGATTGATGTAAATTGTATTTTTGTAAGGAAGAGGAGACAGTTTTACACTTATTTTGATATTGTACATAGTCAGCTTATGGGGTGAGGTGCAAAAATTTATTAATAACATTTTTTTGTGTGTTCAAAACCTCTTTCATCATTATGGAGAATTTACATTTGGGCTTGATTATCCTAATCTAGAGGAAAATAGTTTTATTTATTTAATTTGCTTATGTTGTTGACAAAATTGTACATTCATAAATGTAAAATTACTAATATGAAACCAGATTTTAAGGGATTGATGACTGAAATATGCTTGTATAATATCAGGATTAACTCTCTAAACAAGAAAACTCGACCCACTTTAAAATGTGTTTACTCTACAATGTATTTCATTATTGTTATATTACATTTTGTATTTTATTTATAATAACCCCCTGGCATGTACATTTTTGTATTGTAAAATGTTATTTGCTGTTCTTCAAATAAATAATAAAAATGAATATTATCCACGAGTAGGAGCTAACGTGTTTTCAGACTTGAGAAAACCTCACAAGCATTAAACAACCTGTAATGAATGGGGCTGCTGCATTGCCCGATAGCAACTCGCCTGTACAACTAACTCGCCATTCACTATATCTGACTCTGAACAAAAAGGAAGGAGGGGGTTAGCACAGTATGCAGACGGGACTACTGACATAAAACTCATCCTGCTGGATGTTAAATAGCCAGGTTAATCTTGCGCACGAATGGCTTGAAAGAGCAGATTGTATGCTGTTGGCTGTGCACCTTACTGTAACCTGACGTTGCAAACGCTGCGTGTAAGACACGTTTTCTGCACAAATTCTGCAAATCGGTATCATCTTTTAAATGCTGTTTTTTATTTAGGCAGTTTTACACATTCACTGAACAACATCTTCCTGTCCAAATTATGGCAAAGTTGACCGTGAGAAAGTCATCCGCTGTCCCGAGGCTGTCATGTCTCTGCGGCTCCTAGCGAATCCGGAAATATCGAAATATCGAGTAGTATTATAGTAAAATGGTCGTGCCCAACTGAGTCTGGTTCTCTCAAGGTTTTTTTTCTTCACTCCCATCAGGTGAAGTTTTTTTTCCCTCTCCGCTGTCGCCACTGCCTCGCATGGTTCAGGATTGGTAGAGCTACGCATCGATGAATTTGCTCTTCAGTGTTTGAACTCTCAGTAATGATTAAATCACACTGAACTGAGCTAAACTGAACTGAACTGAACTTAAACACTAAAACCTGAACCACACTGTTCCAGTTACTGAACCACACTGTTCCAGTTACTATGACCATTTATGTGAAGCTGCTTTGACACAATCTACATTGTAAAAGCGCTATACAAATAAAGCTGAATTGAATTGAATTGAATATCGATTCTGACTAGTCGAATTATAATTATGACTAGTCAAAATATAATTAGAGATATCTCTAAATATATTTATGGATAGTCAAAACAAAGTAGTAAATGTTAAAACGGCTTGCCATAGTGTGTCCGTTTTAAACAATGGAAAAACCGATATTTAAAATGCAAATAGATAGAATTAAGTTATTTCAAGCAAGATAAATGCATCTTAGTTATATTTTTATATCTAAATTACTTGGCACTCGGTAAATACTTGGTAAAGCACAAATATTATCTAAAACAATATAGCATGTGGTGTTTCCTTCTCATAATACGTATTATTTAAACCGGAAACTATCTACAATATAAGAGTTGAATCCAGCACATTGGTTTTAATACGTTATGATAAAATGTAAAGGAAAAGATGAGTGAATGATATGAGTTCATGCATTTTTAACCTTGAATAAAACAGAAGGCTGCTACTGTTTTGTCTGGTTTATTCAGATGACAACCATTGAATTGATCTTAAGCAGATGTTAAACAACCATATATTGATCTTATAAAATATTCACATGCTATCAATAACAGTCAAATTCTGCCAAAGCACTGAATCTGGGTTTTACAGTTATTAAACTTTACATAATCGTTTTGTCCGGAAAAACATTGCTTCAACCGTAATATAAACCATTAGAAACACAGAAAATACACAATTGCACCTTAAGTTTTAATCTAAAAATGTTTAAAAACTGTTTTTAAAATGATGTTATTAAAAAACAGTTGTCTTCCAACCTGGTCTATAACTCTTTCCTTGGATATTTATGAAATATTGGTAAAAAATCTTGTACTCCTTGCATTCAATTCAGTTTGGCAGGTAACACAGAACTCACATAGCTCTTATAAAGAACCACAAGATATTAAAAAATATTGTTTTTTAGATGCAAGCAACAGTGGGTGAAATAGGTCAATTAATAATTGCTAAACTTTTTTTAATTCTTGAAAATTCCAGATAGACTGATTAATATCGTTCCAGCTTTGGCATGTCTGGTCAGAGACTGACCATTCTAAGGCTGACCCCTGTGAGAGTGTGTATCGTCTTGGAAGAGCTGGCGGCTGGATTTGATGTCAGGACTGGAAAGGGACAGAAGATTCAGCCTTGAGCTGACCATTGGAGACTCTTCTGAAGCAGTTTGCTAAAGCAAGACAAAAAGCACAGAATGTTACTAATGTTTAGCCTAAACAAACTCATACTATCTATTGTACATAGCTTGACATGAATTGTAAAATAGATTTTCAGAAGGATGAGCAAAGCTACAAGACATCAACCATCATGAAATGGTTATTTCTGGAGATTCCATGACGACATTTTGGCATTTTATTTGTGCAAATACATTGAATATTTATATCTTCATTATAGCATGATTGTCATTACACCAATATGCATGTAGCAAATTTTAAAAAAGATCCCCTGAACATTAAAGGTGTACATGAATGTTTGTCACTGAAGAAGAATTAAAATCCAGGAAGAAAACATTCAAGGATTTGTCTCAGAGAAGGAGGCTCAACATGCAGCATTTTTAAAAGGTACAAAATCAATGCATAGGCAGCTGCAGAATAATAAAACAAAACAACAACAACAACAAAAAAAGGTTTCTTTCGTAATGTAAAAATAAAAAACTAATAATGCACTTCCTGTTTGTTTTCAGTTATGTTATCAGATTACACTTTCTGAGGTATTGGGTGTGGTTAACATACTTAGCCACGCCCCTCCAACTGTCAACTGTCAAACTGAAATGGTGAGGAGGAGGAGTCAGTTATGTTGTAATAGCTCTCCCCAAACCCTCTTCCAGATCTTTCAGAATGAAATGCCTACTTTGCTACATCCAATCAGCTTGCAGTAAAAAAACAAGCCACGCCCACTTTTTTCTCATTTAATATTCTGTTTCTGCGTCACAATATGGAAAAAAAAAAAACAGCTGCAGCTTCCAGTTTATGCGGACTTTAACACCATTATAAAAAGCTACAATTATTTCCAGAAGTTCTAGTGCATCTGTTACCTTTGGTAGTTTAGATGGCGTACTGTAGATGTCTTCAGCAATCGTGCGTTTTGATCCCCTGCTGCTTTCATTTGGGGATGAGCTGAGCGTTGCCAACAAAGCATCATCAACATGATTAGATAATTCGGTCATATTTTCATTCTGCACCCTGCCAGCCTCATCGCAGCTGTCCATGGGTGACCACGAGTAGGCTTGACTGAATGCCATGTCATCTTGCAAAGAGATATTGGACGTTTGATCGCCTTCTCCATTTTTGTCAGTGTAGAGGTTTCTTGCACATGAAGGTCGTGTACTGGACAACATCTGAGGGCGGATTGGAGTTTGCGAGGCCACTGGGGTTGATTGTGAATGCCCAAAACTGTGGTTCAAGGTAGTCTCTGCTTGCCTCTGGGTGGAGGCAGATGTAGTCAAAGGGTCTTGTTGGCCAACTTTAGTGTTGACAAAGCCGCAGAGTCGTGTGTTACGAGGGGTGATCCTCTTCCTGATGGCACCTTCTAGATCATACTCTGTACCCACCACATACACACGCTTCTGACCACGAGTCACCGCGGTGTAAACATGCTGCCAGTTTTGGGCAGGACTGTCTCCAAGAATGTATACAATCGTTTCAGCTTCTGAGCCCTAAAGTGGAGACAAAAAAAAAAAAACAAATCAGTTGCATGAAGCTGAAGTATTGCTTTCACCTGGTATTAAAATCCACTTTTGATACCATCGGAAAGTAGACAAGGTTAAACACAGAAAATAATGGTTTTCAAGATATTTTGATCTTGTTGACTTCGTCTATAAGTAGTCAAATCCGCATTTGAATGTATTGTTCTTGTAGCGTGTAGGCTACATATTTAATCTAATATCTATGTCATCTGGGGTCTAACACATTTGTTTTTGATGTATATCACTGCATTTCAAACAAAAAAAACCCTACTCTTTCTTCTTTATCCACATCATCTAGCTGACACTGAAATATTTCGCTAAGTAGCATATTAATCTGGTATTTATAGGAGACAACAGAAAAAGTTGTTTACACCTGTGGAAGTGGCTGAACATTTTACACCTCATTGACGTCAGTATTTAGCATTGCCAACTTGTGATTAGATCAAAGAAAAAGCATCTCAATACCAGGTGTAAGTGATAATCTTGTCTCCGGGTCACTAAAAACACATGTTAATGCCAGATGTCAAACAGGGCCTTAGGACAAATGGTGATGCTGGGTGTTAATAGAGCCCTAGATGAACAAAGAGCATCAATACCTGAAAGGTGTGAATGGTTCTTGCCCAAGAATGGCGCAGTTTACACTCTCTCTGTAGCTCTTTGTAGTTACAAGTCACCTGGCGGTCGCTTTTATCATCGAGTGTCAGTTGACGCACCATTTTATTTTTTTCATTCTCGACAGATTTAGTCACATCCTGTGATTGGTCCAGAAATAAGTTAAATCAATCAATAAATAGATCAAATGACTTCTTACATTTCGAATCAAAATATAAAGATGATCATAAATCAGTAAATAAAAGTACATCTTTAATGAAGAAAATTTCGCCATTGCACAATCGCTCTTTCTTCTCTTTCTTTTCTTTCTTCTGATCATCTTGTTGACTTTCAGCACGATTATGTGAAGCTCTGATGTCCGCCAAAGACGTCTCCTTCTTATCATAGTCTGTGACGTAGCCATTCTTAGTGCAGCAGACTTTATCACCTACCTGAAAGTTGAATGTTTTCTTGGCAGTTCTGAAACGAATTAATTAAAAAAAGCATTACATTTATGTTGTGATGCTAGTATATCTGTGAAAATAACTTGTTTTCTCACTTTGTGGTATGGTTTGAATAATGTCTGCAGCAAAGCTCATTGATTAACTCACAATCCTTCCTGTGAACCAGAAATCAAAAACTTTACACTTAAATAAGCCGACATCCCCACATAATGCGACAAGCCCAAATCTGTCCTACCTCCGAAAAGCCACAAACTGTGACAATATATGATCTTTCAGCCCAGGAGCTTCCTTAAGTAGGAACAAGATGGCTTCCTGGAGGTCTAAGCAACAAAAATAACATAAATGAAGTCACAAAAATAATGAATCCTTAAAAATTCAAAGCATTTAATGATCTTACAGTAAGATCTTTGACAATTTAGCTTGATAGGTGTCTCAACGATGTGTCTGATTTCTAATTGGAGTTTTGGAACCTCCACTAATGTGGTTTTGGGAAAGTAAAATGTATTGTAGGCTGTTATGTAGCTTCTTCACTGATAAATCTTGACCCAAAGAAAGTGTAATGTGTGTCAGAGGACAGGAAGTGTATTTTCTGGAAGTCTCCACTGGATCGACGCGAGTTTCTTTTGTTATTCTTATTGTTATTTTGTCTTTAGGTTCACATATTTACTGCATAAGCAATCAATGTGTTCATGTGACACAATAGTAGGGACATATGGCTCTCGAGCCACATGTGGCTCTTTGACCAAAAATACATGGCTCTCCAGCTGTCTTCCTTCAATAATATTTTACAGTTTAAAAATGATAACCATCACTAGAAATCATTTTCCTATCGAAAATACAATTACAGTTCCCTCTTTATTGTAATTTTTACAGCAAAATGAATAAGAACTCCTTTCAATAAAAGGACGCTCTTTTTTCATTCATGGAAACCTGCATTATTTATAGTAGTAATACAGTAGCAAATGCACTTTAAAGAGGCATTTTGAGATAAATATACATCCAAATGACTCTTTAAAAAAAAAAAGATATTTGCTAAAAAAATCTTTGTTGAAAAAAGGTTCCCGACCCCTGTATACTGTAATAATTCTTCCATTTCTAGCATGCATTATCATTGTAAGTGTTGTGAAAAAAAGATACCATTTAAAGACTGCTCACTTACCAAAAGAAAAATTGTCCGAACTGATTTTGATAAAAATGAATCTTTTGTCGGATGGCACTGCAGAGGGGTTTGTCATGTCTATGGTGGCATCAAAGTCCAGAGGCTTGTAATACTTTTTTTTACCCATCTCAGAGATGCTAAAAGATTATGAAAATAGCGATTAATAAATTATTATTTAGTTGTATTAGATTAAAACATATACATACAACCCACTAAGGAACTAAATGTTTAAGAGAATAAACCATCAACTCACAGTCCAGCATTTCTGACGATGAGCTCAGACTCGGCTCGATGATTGGTCCTCATCTCAATAGCCCAGCGGACTCTTCTGAGACCTTCAAACAGATCATATAGTGTGTTTCCAGGCTCAATGCTGGGCAACTGCCGCACATCACCTGCAGACAGAAAATATATAATCATTTAGTTACATTTTATTTAGCAAGTATGATCTACAGAATACTACAGAACTACATGAATTATGTCTATACCCAAAATGATGAACTTCTGGAGTTGTGCGTGTTTGGTAAGCATGCTAAGAATGGAGTGAAGGATCTGAACAGAAACCAAGCTTCCCTCGTCAACCACCAGCACCCGAACCTTTGAGAACTTCCAGTCCTGTGGATTCCCACTTCGATCCTTATCTACAGTCATGAAACTCCATAACACCTGCAAAATGGAAATGAAGAAAGTTATCTTAACTAGTCAAATAATAATGTTTAAATATTCAATGAAATATTGTGCAAAGTCAAGTTTGCATTATTATAAATACTAACTATTATCAACAATCTCATTAGAATAATACACATTTTAAGACCTAACATTACAAAATATGATTTAAAGTCAAGTTTAGCTTTATCGTTTTTTAAATTGTAAAGTGTAGCATCATGTAAATTGTTGGTCATGTTTTAAAATGTTTTGTTGTTTGAGGTGGCCGAGTGCAAAATTATACATCAATTCTGATTCATCATGAAGTGTAATGTTATGTTTTGTGGGAATATAAATTTATATTATCTATATGTAACTGAAAAGTTGTTTTTAGGGTGTGACAGACCTTAAAATGTCTTAGTTTCCTGAACCCTGACTGTCTCCAAAGTAATGCAAATTGTCTCTTTCACAGCACAGCTGTGTCTATTGTTTTCTAACAAATGGTCAACCAGTCAACTGGTCGGATGGGTTTTGACTTTAGAAAATCATTTGCACACTGTTTTCATGAATGGGTACTTACCTGGAAAGGCAATTTACCCTGCCGACAACAACACTTCATTTGCAAGCTTTGCTTTAGTCTGTCCCCACCTACATGTATCAATGTCTGTAAAAATGTATTTAAACTGAGTGTCTGCTGTTCCAGTAGACTTCTTTCAATGATGCCACAGCAACGCCAAATTCTTCTTATTAAAGTATTCTGCTTTGAACATACCCGGAAGATCTCCCTGGTTTTTGGCTCGTCTTAGAATTTCACAACAGTTTTGGTGCCGTGAGCCAGATAATGAAATTCACAACAGTTTTGGTGCCGTGACCCAGATTGAGAAATTCACAACAGTTTCAACCATGTTAAGTTATCATGCAAAATGTTATGTGGTCTGAATTTAAGCAATTGGGTTATGCCACGAAGCACAATCTTATATAATGTTAAGCATTTTTAAAGTTCTATTCTGCTGTATAATTTAACGTAACGTCTCAGCCATGTAAAATTAATAAATGTTTTGCGATGTGTAACAAAGTTTTAAACTCTAAAATGATACATATTATAAATCTGTTTTGAAATGTGCGATGAAATCACACAATTTATGTCACACGTTATGTTGCTGTGGTGTAAATGTATGTAAAGACATTTAAGTCATGAATTTTTATGTAAAGTTGAAAGATTTAATAGGATGTAAAGTTATGTCAAGTTGTGACATGCTATGAAATTTTATGTAAATATGTAAAATCGTATACAGTGTTCACTTCACATTACGTTACGCAACATTGTATTATGAAATGCTATGTAATGTAATGTACAGTTATGTATACCTGGTGCATGGTGTAAGCAGTGAACCCAGTTCTTTTAGTGAGAAGTGAAGCAGCTCTGCCTGTAGGAGCAGTGAGGAGAACTTCCACAGATTTTTCATTACTGATGCTCTTCTCGCTATGGTTTTTCTCCTCGTGCACATCCAACGCCAGCCCATTACTAGAGCCATGAGAGTCATTCTGAAAGTCCTCGCAGGCCTTCTGCACCTCCTCCAAGTCGCTTGTCTGCTGCTCCATGGCCGCCTTAAACACCAGGCTGACCACTGTGGTTTTCCCACAACCCCCTTTCCCACTGATCACTGTAACCGGATTTGCACACATCATTTCGGCTGCCCGCACCTGATCACAATCCAACTCTATCGTACTGGGATCAATGTCCAAATCTGAGTCAGAGTCTGATGTGAGATTTTCCTCTTTAATAGTGAGCGTTGTATTTTCAGAATCATCACATGATGGTGTTTCTCCATTGTGGACCATGCTTGAAGTACCAGGCTGGTCTAAATCAATGCCTAACTGCTCAAACACAGCGGTGGAATTTTCTGCTGCGGAGGCAGATGTGTTTGCATCATCCTTTGATTTCATAGTTGCATTGTGTTTTTCACAAGCCTTTGCTCTTAATCTTTTTATCTGAGCTTCACGGAGAACCTCCTTGACATCCAGGTGGATTTTCCAAGGGTCTCCTTGAACCAGGCCTGTCAAACATTCTGCAATTCCTTTCTCATACTTCAGCAGGTTTCGAAGTGCAACCTTGGTGCTCTCCTTCATCAGCACCCCCTGTGTCACAAGGAAGTGCAGAGCTGCCCAGGCACCATCCGCCCCGGTTTCAGAAAATATTTTGTCCACAAGCATCTCCTGAGTTATGTAAGTGCTTCCGGTGACTCTGCAGTGTTTCTTCAGTTCTGCATATAAAATCAACGCGTTACGCTGAAGAAGCGGGATAGCTGAAAACAAATCGCACAGCTTGAAGGCTTCAAGTTTTGCTTCACACCTGATCAGATGCAATTCCTTAAACATGATCTGTTGAAAGAAGGAATATTCATTTATAATGAGAGCAATGGGAGATTCATTTTTAAAAGCGAGTTTAAAGCAAAAGGAATCTTACATAGTTGAAGCCCAGCTTCCACACATTATTAGTATTTATTAGCTCCTCAAGTTTGGACAATACATTTGTTTTTCTCTGCTCGTTTTGAGGGTCTTCATCCATTGCTGAAGTTTCTGGAATATCTTCTATTCTTGCTCTTTTTATAATGTCCAGATACTGGCCTGGCAGCAAAGTTGGCAGATATTTCATGATTCCAGGGTACAAGCTGGCAGCTTTTACGTGCGTCCAAACAACTGAAATGAACAAGAAAAGTAGTGGTGATTAATTCAGTAAAGCTTTATTATAGTGTTATATGTAGGTTTGGATCAGATTAAAGTCTTCAGGGTCTGGTTCTGCTCAAGATAAACATTTATGAGGTTTTTTAATTTGTTGTTTTTTTAGGTTTTTATTTGTAAATTTGTTGCAAAACTCAACCAAATATCACTTAATTATTGTCAATCAATTAATAAAAGTGTCAAATAAGCCCATAGAGGACAAAATGTAACAATGAATAATTAAATAAAATAAATAAATAAATAAATAGTACAAAAAAATTTTATTGACAAAAACAAATTTTTTACTTTTTAAGGATTTAACCTTGGATTCAACTTTGATGCTGTTGTATTTTAATGAATATATATATATATATATATATATATATATATATTATTTTTCATATAATAAAGGCTAAGCATTTTCATCCTAAGAGGTACCATTTGATTTGATCTGATTTATTTATTTTCGAACAAAAATATCATACATAAAATATCATTCACAAAAAATAAATTTCAACATGGTAGAACATTTTGGCATTTAGAGTAAAAATGGCTACATATTAAAAGTTCAATAAAATGCAACCTTGATTGACCCTGTAAACCTGGATCTAACACAAGCAAAGGCAAATTATTAGATTTTTGTTTAGTCCAAGCGTAGCGTGTTATTGCTTTAAATAGGAAAATAACACTCAAAGGTCATCCTATGTCATGTGGATTAAAGCAATAACTAGCAACCTTGCTCTGAAGAAGCTGACATACACTGTTAAAGGAATATTACAATTTTTTTTATCAAATATGGACCCCCTTTCAACACTTTTTGAACCAGGTGGACAATGCAACATTTTTTGATGTTTGAGCTTTCAAACCCATGTTGGTGTCTTCTTGTATTTTTCAGATGTCTTGCATTTTAGCAACAATTAACAAACTTGTTTAACTAGTAACAAGGGAAAGCTGTATAATGCAAGATACAAAAATGCACTGAACATTGTTATTATTTATTTATTTTTTAACCATGTACAGTTTGAATCTATGTAATTTATTTACATATTTATTTTCACATTTTTAACCATTTCTCTTTTAACTTTTTATTTATATATATTTTATTGATAATATATTTTGTTTTGTAGTTCAAACAAAACCCAATAAAAATGCACCTTTGGCCAAAATTAATGCTGTTTACGTTCACATAGCCAAAGTGATAAGAAAAAAAAATTTTAAAAAAATAAAACACATCCATAAGGGTTAACTTTGAGATGCATTTTACGTGTCATGTATATATTATATGGATAAACATGCTACACATTTTCTCACCTGAACAATTGACACTTGACTTGAGCTGTTGAGCCACAGCTTCATGCTCAAGTGAGGAATCTTCAAACTCCTGCAGGACGTCCAGCACATTAACAAGCTCCACACGTCTGTCAGTGGGCAACCAGTCCATAAACATTTTAACATGATCAGCTTGTGCCTTACATGCGGTGAGAAAAAGAGACAAGAGTGACCGACCCTCTGATTTCAGATGAGTGCGGAGTCGATAGAAAGGGTAGCCTTTAACAAATGCCTTGAGTCGGCCTAGGCGAATTGTACAGGTTACTTCCCACCAGGGGTCACAGAGGGGGAATCGGCCCTCAACCTTGTATGTCTTTTTACCAACCAGAATTGACACTGTAAAAGAAGAAAATGCATGAAATAACCGTTATAAACAAAGTAGTACCTTTGAAAGCGTCAACTCTGAAAAGCTTTTACTTGTAGATATGAGTAGATGTACTGACTCTCCCACACTATTCAAATCTAGACTTAAAACTCATCTGTTCAAAATAACATACTCTGTTTAACTGCATTACTCCATTTTGTATTCAAGTCTTTGTATTTTATCGTCTTCTCTATTTTTATACTGTCTATTTATGTTGTACTGTTTTTTTTTTTGTTTTTTTGTTTTTTTGTAGAATTGTATATGTATGTTGTACAGTGACCATGGGTTTCTTGAAAGGTGCTTTCAAACTAAATGTATTATTATAATTATTATATGCAATTATGAACAGTATGGTATGCAAGACAAGTATGTAGATATGTAGGAGACAGACTGTAGATAGAATTCATAGAATGATAGAATTCAGACTGTATATATGAATATTTTTACTTATGTGTTAACAAACTGACTTTTTAACTCATAACAATGTAAATGTACATTATTTTTATGTATGTTTTACTTACAGGTATAACATGTAAAGAGTGTGATGCTGTATATTGCAAATATGTTCAGTTTTCAGTTCAGTTTCCTTTATTTTTGTCATTCAAAACATCACAATAGATAGTAATGCAGAACGAAATTACATTAAAAACTCAGCAAGAACATAAAAAAACACGTTAAACACCTAATAAATAAGCTTTTGTAATTTCATAAATATATAAAAATATAGTTATATATAAAATATACAATCCAGTTGAAAAAAAATCACAGAAGTAACTAAAAATACTTAAATACTTATTGCATAGTTTGTTATAATAGTTCTAAATACTTTTATGTTATAATGTAAACATGCATGAATGTGTAACAATTGAATGCGTAAACATACTAACCAATAATAGGTTAAAATTATGTCAAATGCAAATAGGATGATGGTAACAGTATAAAAAGGTGGGGACTTTGGAACTTCTATTAATGTGAATAGAAAATTATTGTGTTATTAAATACATTGTTACATTTTTTATTATATTAATTTAGAATAAGATAACATTTTTAAAATAAAATAATATATTTTTGTAAACTGTCAATAGTCTAACTTTTCAACTTTTAAAACTGTAAAGTGTAAATACGATTTACTTGTTATACCGTAAACAGGCTGATTTTGTTAGTCATATCAGGGTAAACAGTAAACGTCACTTGTTTAACTTGAATGTAAACAGACTTTTGTGTGAAAGCGTAAATTATAAATATTTTTACACCTTCTCTGGTATATTTCCCTTATAATTTCAAAAGGGGTGTAAGTTAGCGTGAATACTTTATTTCTTCACGTTAGTTACTTTGTTACTTACAGTAAACAAAGTAACGTTAAATGTTACATGTAGCAATGTGAACTGTAAACATGTTTGTCTATACTTAGGTAAAGGTAATAAATAAGTAGTTTTACCTTCTTTTGATGTTGGCACTAAAGATTTGAACATGTTTCCCCCAGATGACACCGAGTTCATCTCCTTCATGTCCAGAAATTCAGGCTGTCCTTCCTCCTCTTCATCTTCACTTTCTAAACCATCGTCTTTGTTTGGCTGGACAGCTTGTTCTTCTGGTAAAATGTAACCAGTTATGGTTTTTAATCCCGCAATGGGACTTTGAAGCGCCATGTTGACTGATAAAAGTCAGTTTGAAGTTATCTGCATTTCGCGGTCCAACACATGACTCATGACTGTAAACACTGCATACAACAGCCAATCACATCACGCCAAAATAAAAGTCTGTTTATTACTGCTTCCTGTTAAACATACACAAACGCGTTAAATAATAAAATAAATAAATGATTGAATGAAGAAAATGGTTGAATAAATGAATGAATGAATGAATGAATGAATGAATGAATGAATGAATGAATGAATGAAAATGCCGGCCACCGTCCTAAAATGACAGTAGTTGTAAGTTTCTGTTAAATATATTTGTGTATAATTCATTAGCTAACAACAACAGTGAGCAGCGTTCATTTTTGGATGCCTCATTTACTTTAACAGCATTTATGAATGTTGCTGACGTTAGTAAAACAAATCATTGTTCATTGTGCGTTACTTTTAACAAATAGCCACTATGGATTTAAATAATGAATTCGTAAATGCTGAAACTAAGTGACTAAAACCCTAAAATGACAACATTATATACAACATAAAATAACATTTACATCCAAGCAGCCTAAATTAAAAATAAGTAGTAATAATAACATAAATAAAAACCTTCAATCATATTAATGAAAATATATTCAGGGAGGTCAATCCATATAAGCTGACAAAAGTTTAGAGAGCCACATAAAAATGACTAAAGTGAAATAAGTTCTTCAGTTTTTAATAACCCCTGATTGCACAGGTCATTTTTTATTCTTAATTTTTTTCATTTTTTTCATTTATATAGGGAATGCTTACAATTAGTTAATAGCAGATCATTAGCAATCATTTTTAAAGCATTTATCAATTTTTGTAACGTTTAAAAACAATGAAAATGTAAACATATTTATCATTGTTCGTTTCCTATAGCTACATCCCTATAGTCATTCCCCTTATAGCTAGTGTTGGGTGAGCGCACTGTCCTGTGGCTGCCGTCACATCCTCCAAGTAGATGCTGCACACTGGTGGTGGTATGGAGACCCCCCCCCTCTCCCCCCGGTAAATGCACTGTATAAATACACATTACATTACAGTTTATGTTAAATATAGTTAGATTACATTAAATTAAACCTTTTAGTAAAGTGACCTTACATTTCTGCTTTATACATCAGGTTTTATATTAAATACAGCTTTACTTTAAAAGCAGATACATATAAAATATTTAATACAGGACAATCGACAACAGTAACAACAACAAAATTAATAGAACTGCTCCAGTATTAAATCTTTATAAATATCCATCTGATCCAGGTGAATCACTCTGACTGAAGTGAAAGAAGTTCTTCAGTTTTTATTAAGCCCTGATTGTACAGGTGAATTTTATTCTTCATTTTTTCTTTTGCCGGATTCCTGGCATCATTCGGAGCAGGCAAGGCATTATCATCATCTGAAAATGAAAAATGTTGGCTATTAATTCTGAGCTTGACTGGATCTAAATTACTTTGCACTGACAATGAGCCTCAACACTTTCCAAAAAACAAAAAAAGTCCTTATAGACTAAAGTGATAACATAGTACCCAACATACATACCTATAGTGACATATACAACCGACTGACTGAATCCATTAGCGCAGCAGTCGGCACAAGCCTGCGCTTCGGTTTCAGTGCTACAGCTGCACTCCACCGGCCAACTGCCATACAAATCCAGACGAGCTGCAGAGTCTGAATGCACACTTTCTGATGATGACACCCTTTGGTCACTTTCCTGATGACAATCTCTAAGGAAGCTGCGATCTTCATTACTCAAGAAAGTGACTTCAGACTGGCTGCATTCACATGGATCTGCCGGTTTGGAAACTCTTGGAGAATGCAGTTCCTCCAGCTGGCTGTGCATTTCATCGTCTTCAATAGGAAAGCTTTTGTATGGTCGCTGAGGAGGGATGGTGTCATCCAGAGTGTGAGGTTGGTCCTCGGAGAATGCAGGCAAGGGATGAAGAGGGATTAGTCTCTGAAGCACCTGGAAAAAAGTTAAGGTAAGACAGCGGGTAAATAGGGTAAAACATGTAACTAATAGTTATTATCATACTTTATTAATTGATTGATTTTATAAAGATTTGTAAACTTTTGTTTTATGATGTTTAAGTAAGTAAATTAGGCATTATTTTATTAAATGTGTGCTAATTTCTTAGTGTTTGAAGCATATTGTATTGTTTATATATAGTACAAGTGTAGTACAACTACAAGTACAAAGGAAATGAAATTGCCTAAACATATTAACCCAAACAATAAAGTAGAAAATTAAAAATTAAATAAAAATTAAGTAAATAAAGTAAATAAATATAAAATGGAGGATATTTACCAATCAAAGTTCGATTAAAAGAGTATGTTCGGCTGTTACAATGAAAGCACGCACAAAACACTGATCATGGCACATAGTTTTGTTGATTTGTGCAATTTTTTTGTATTTACGAGTCAAACATTTTTATATCTTTGGGGTTTTGCTGAATTTTTCTTTATCACTCTATAAGTCATAACATACTGTCAATAGCCAGGAAAAATAAATAATCACAATATTTTGTATAATAAAATGTGCACAGACAAAAAATATTGTTATTTCAACCCAAACTTGGATAAAATATTGATAAACCCAACCATTGGGTAAAGAAATTGACTATAAAAAAAAAAATATATATATATATATATAAATATATATATATATATATATATATATATATATATATATATATATATATATATATATATATATATATATATATATATATATAATGCAGCCGTTTTGGTTTGCCAATACACCATTTATGCAAAAAAACAAACACCAGCATTTTTAGAGTGCACAATCAGGCATATTATTTATGAACTAGTAGTGGGCTGTTATCGGCGCTAACGCAGCACTCTTAATGCGCAATTCAAAAAAATATTGCCGTTTATCTATTCTAAAAGTTGGGTTGGGAGCCGGGTCTATTTTAGGCAAGCTATGATGACTTTCACCTTGATATTTTGGCGTGGATGTATACCTGACCGGTTAGCCGTCTAACAAAAAGTGCCCTTCTGAATCAAATCAGCAGAATGCATGACTTTAACTGCAGTTTGGCAATTTCACTTTAACTTTTGTACATTTCATTCATGGCCCGTGACAAACTGGGGTATTAGACACAAATAATGAGTAAAAACTGATGCGAGTGTTATGGAATTTAATAACGCACACCAAATGGAAAGAAAAAAAAACTTCCACATTAATCTAATTAATTGTAAGTTTAATCTAGATAAAAAAAACATCATCTACGCCCACCTGTAGTATAAATATATCCCTCTGTAAAATATTCAGTACATAGATATAAATAAAACAGTAGAGTTTGTTTTATAGAAATGCTGCATTTATGGCTTAGTTAAGGAGAGAAACTCATTTAGCCTTCAGAAATATATATCATAACTGAAGCGTACAGACACAAATTGATAAAGTGCGTTTTCTTCATATTAGACGTACAGAAAACATTTAATGAAAAGCAAAAATCTCAAAACTGACAGGTGTATAAAAACATTTTCTTATGCTTCAGTGTGTCTCATCAATAAGTGTTTATGTTGTGTGTGTAAAGAACATTTACGAACCATTTCCATGTCTGGCCTGACTCGCATTTTGCTGCCTGTGCACTCAAGTCCGAGTCGCAGCAGACAAAGAGCCACAGCAGGAGGCCAGTGCTCAAATTTAAGATCTAAAAACCGCAGACAGGCATCCACGCAGCCTTTTTCTTCTACCTCTGAATGCAGTACATCTCTCTAAACAAATCCAATGACATTAGTCAATTTGTTTTACTTACAAAACATTTTGGAATGATAGTGTTAAGGTTCTCACTCTCTCATGGACACCACATTTTTTTGATGACTTTCCAAAATCTCTAATAATTTTAAATTATGATCTTTGCAATTCACAGCCCCAGCATATATACAGTAGCACCATGAAAGTCCTTATTGGACTTAACATTTTACTTACACTTAATATTTACGTCAAAATACCACAGTAATGATGTTTTGAATGCATCATTTTCATAAATGTAGAATCATGTTCAAAGAACATTAAAACATTTAGTTAAATTCAATACCGGTAATATTTAAATGCGATGTCTGAAATATTACTAAAATGTGCATTTATTGTCATAGTTCTCATATTAAATTTAAGATTTTTTAAATTAGGAATTTCTTAGTTTTTAAAAGCAGCACAGTAAAATCTAAACACCAAAAACTTTCAATTCAAGCACTTTCAACGACCTATGTTCATTTTTAAGCACTTTCCAGTCCTTGAATTCATAGGTATGAAATTCAAGTAGTTTCAAGAAGCGTGGGAACCCTGTAGTATACAATTCAAGTTGATTTGTATAGCACTCTTATACAATAATTATTGTTTTAAACAGCTTTACAAAGGGTGCAAATTCAAGGATTCTACAGGTTTCATCAAGTCAAGAATTTTAAAGACCTTTTTAAGACCATTATGAATGAAATTGCAGACTAATTGCAGACTAATTGCAGACTTTTAGACTAAACTTTTCTAATGGCCCAGTTAAAAACATTAAAAACAAATGTTCCTGTAAGGAAGATAATTAATCCATATTGGTAAACTTTTTTCGAGATAGAATATTAGTGGTTGGATAGGTGTCATCCTGATTGGGTGACTTTTAGGCATGGGCCAGTATATGTTTCTGAGGGTATGATAACCTTGGATAAAAATATCACAGATTAAGGCTTGTAAAATTTTATTTAAGACATTTTAAAACTTTTTAAGACCCCGCGGATACCCTGGCATTATTGCTTTATGATCAAATTAAGTTAAACACCTATCATAAAACCACTCATAAGTAATATATGTAGATCATAAAGTGGATTCTTATCAAACTTACCAAAAACAAGTTTTTTGAGGACTCTTGTTTAACCTTTTGCCCTGTACATGTTTCCAATATAACCTACAAGCAAAAAAAACTGTTATATTTATAGTGATATTTCATATTGATATTAAGTTGGAATTGATATAAATCAATTAAACCATCAACAATAAAATAAAAAAGTAAATATCTTAGTTATACAAATTAAACATTTTCTTAGACGCTCCAGCTTCTCACCACACCAAGACTGTAAACATCAAGTTTGACTGACAGCTTTCCATCTCGAATGTACTCCTCTGGAAGATAGCCTAGATTACTATGTAGAGCAGTATTCATGACAATAGTGCAGCTCTGGTCAACAGAGTGTGGCCGCAGGCGAGCTAATCCAAAATCGCACAATTTAGGCTGCATGTTTTCATCCAGGAGAATGTTTGAACTGCCAAAGGAACACAAAACTCAATGCATGCTCTTTACTGCCACCTACAAAAGTATTTTTGGCTTTTAACGGCACCTTGTGATGTTTCCACATATAACAGTGCACGGTTGTGAAGTGTGTAGATGATGGACTGCCTTCGCCGTGCCTTTGATAATATTCAGCCGTTCTTGCCAAGATAGAGGCTTGTCAACGTGCTGTAATAAAACCAAAAGTAAGAGAAATAATAGATCACAGTTAGAAAAGACAGTTTGCTTGTGGATGACTGACCTCATGAAGTCTGTGGAATAATGATCCATTTTGAAGGAACGGGTAAACCAAACAGAAGCGATCCGAATCTGAAAAGCTCCCCCATAACTCTAAGATGTTAGGATGCTGGTTGCTAGGATGACAAACAAACGTAAATAAATAAATGACAAAATGATAAATGAACTTATTTGAATGTGGCTAGGTATGCAAAGTCCGGACTTACAGTTGGAGAACTTCAATTTCCTTGGTGAATTTTTCCCACAGTGCCTTCCAGTCAGTTTTATTTTCCTGTAAAACATAATAGAAGTCATTTGATCAGTTCTTTTCACAATTTGAATATTATTATATTCCAAAAATCAAGAAAGCAAAACATACAATTATTTTTATCATGATTCTAATTTTCCCCAATTTTCCAAATTCATTTGAGGTTTCATTTGTTAATATTAGTTACTTGTGTTAGTTAACTTTAATTATCTATGAAAAAATGTGGTGGTTCATTCCACTGTGTTGTACTCTGATTAATAAGGACTAAACTGAAGGAAAATTATTGAATGAAAATGCATCTACAGGGTTTATTAATTTTCTTTTTTTAGCAAATGTTAGTTTCAGTTTCACTTTATTAAAATCCAGAGTCATATTTGATCACGTGTTAATTACTAACATAAGCAACTTAATTCCATGCAATTATATTTATTCAAATAAAGCATTATTATTGTTGTTACTAATATGTAATTTCATAATTTACTTTTTTGTTATGTTCTTGTGGTACACATATAAAATGGCTGATGAATGTAAAACCAAAGGTAATCAAAATTTAAAAAAGCATTTGCTGTATTAAATTTATACTGAATATAAATATTTGCTCTGAATGTAAACTGTAAAACATGTACTGTAAATTAATAATTTTTCATTTAAAAGCCTTAACAATAACATAATTTCCCTCAACTAATTGTTTATCCAGCTGTGGCGAGTTCTGAAATAGAAACTAAGCCTATAGAAAATGAATGAATGAATGATTGATATAACTTCATAATTAGTACATTACATATAGCATTATTTTTACTTGCATTAACTGTTCATTAAAGACCTTGATTTTGTAGTTATATGATTACAGTGCTCAGCATAATTGAGTACACCCCATTTTGAAAATTCATATTTTTATCAATTTCTCAGTGAATGTAGGCAATGTATTTTGTTGCATTTAAACAAAGCAGATTTATTAAACAGATTTATTTATTAAATTAATATTTTAGTCACCAAACATATTTAGTACTTGAAAGATAATAAAATTAAATTCAAGCTAAATATTGCAAAAAAAAAACCAACCTAAAAACCTACAAAATTTCAACTAAATTTTAACAATTTATTTTTTTTTTGCTTTTTTTTGTATTTAATAATTTTGTGTAACATAAATTTGGGTGAACTAGTTTTTGGACCGTTATTGCAAGTTATTTTGTTAGATAAGCTCCAGATTTGGCTTGAGTACTGACTAATCTAATGTATATGCACAAATATAATATTGTATAGCTTCCTATTAAAAATATGAACTTAAAAGATAGATTTGTGAGGGGTGTACTCATATGCTGAGCACTGTGTATTATTAATTTAATATTGAACAATTGCAACACAATAACAAAATACAGATAAAACTGGTGTATGAAGGTTAACACAAGGTGAAACCCTAAGTACTGTAAAAAGAGCTATTAATAGTTTATGACCTGTTTGAAAACTTTCACAGCAAAAGATCTGTTTCCCCATCGTCCACAGTAGACCTCAGCAAATCCACTGCCTCCGATTTTTAAGTCCTGGTGGAAATGCCTGGTTCCCTCAATGACGTCAAAATATGTGATGAAACACTTCTGTTTTTCACCTACGAGATGAGCAAACAAGGTTTCACCTTATATGCCTATGAAACTGCTCAAAACAGAAATGAAACTTTACACCTAATATTAAAAAAATCTGTTCTGAACTAGCTGAACTGTGCTGAAACACAATCATATCCTCAAAAATCTGAAAAAAAGAGGAAAACTTGATCTGCGTCATCACGTATTCACCATTTGATTATTTCAATCCTGTTAAAAGTTTCTTCCTTCTGTTGAACACAATGGAAAATATCTTAAAGAATGTTAAAAACTGGGAGCCTTTAGATTTCCTTTGTATTTTTTGTCCTACTATGAAAGTCAATGAGGGCCAACATTCTTCCAAATTACATCGTATTGTCTCAAAAAAAGGTTTGGAAACATTAACTAAACCTAACTAAACTTAACTAAACATAAACTTTCATTTAGCATTTAACTTTCCCTTTAACTAAAGAGCAAACACTTAAGTGTTTATATTTAAAGAGTGAACTACCTTCAACAGAAACAGACTCTGCATGTAGATCTGATACTTGACAGGATTTCCCAGTACTTCGTAGATACTGATGGGAAAAAAACAACAACAGATAACATACAGTATAATCATAATGTGACTAAATTAGCAAAAACCAAACTGCTAACATTCTAAAAGATCAACATTAGATTAAACTAAACCTCTGATCAGCATCTTGCGCAAAGGAAGTTAATAACAGCAACAAAAAATATATTAAAAGACAGTACCGTGGGATAGTGAGGTGGTGAAGACGACTTCAGCACACATGAATCTAAAAAATAAATAAATAAATCAACAACATCAATCTTTCAGCTGGTGTGTTGTGGGTGAGAATACTTTGGGTAAGAGTGGCTGTGGTTTTTTTTTTTAAATCGGATGCTTTGTTTTGTTTCATTTCATAGTTTATTTCCGTTCATTTAGGTTTGGTTCCTTTTTAAAGCAAAATATATGGATGTTTTTTCAATCTAAATTAAATCTAGCTGATAAAAACGCAGTACAAATTAAACAAGCTAAAATTGAATGGCCTCCAACCATCACTGAAAATAATGATTCATTTGATTTACTAAATTTAAGGTAAGTGTTTGCAAACAATTTATATAAGCTGATTTTAAACAAATAAATTCAATTTAGTGATGTTCAACTTAATTTGTTTGTTTAAATTCAGCCCATATAAATTGTTTGTAAGCACTTAACCTAAAAAAAATGTATTAAATCCAATGAATATTTTTTTTCAGTGTATATTACATATAAGGCTTAATGTTTTCACTTTATTTATCAGCATGCTGAATGTGTATTGAGAGTATAACCACCTGAGAAAGAACATGGTAATATAAGGTAACTACAGGAGTTCAAAGATAGGTTTCCCAGTTTATGTAAATGCGACACCTTTAGTAACTGTAAATGCATCTACAATACATACTAACTACAACTGTTACCATATTATCATGGTATATTACTGTAAATGAAAAAATAAATCTCATCCAGTATTATATTCTTACAGTCAACATAAGGATGTTACCTTGCGATTGAAAAAGACTCCTGGCTCGCGCGTGACCCATCTCATCCAGAACCTTCAGCAGATCCTCTACAGTTTTATTCCGCTGGGCCCACGACCACATCAGCTCTTTGGTCGGACTTTTCCCAGCAACTGCGTACATTTCAATACATCTCACCTCCAGCTGGCTGGAAAGAATGCGAGACGCTGTAAAGATGAATAGTGATGAGTATCAGTAAATGATTCCCATAATATCCAGTGCATTAGATACACGAAGATGGTTTCTAGCTGATTCAAACTCATTATTAGTTTGAGAACCAAGACTAACTTGACCACCATCAGCTTGAGTATAAAACATACTAGAAGGCAGTAGGTCATCTTGAACCATGAGTAAGTCTTGACCAATTAACCAATTCAGTTTCTTCTAGAAACTCAATATAGAGACCAGTATTAAATGTTTGCTACGAATAACCATGTTAGTTGTAGTTATATTATGCTAATAAGTTATATTTAATGTAGTTCAATCATTCTTGTAGTAAAAATGTAGTTATAAAACTCATTAATGCACCACAAAACAATAGGCTTTTACTATAAATGGTTAATAAAGAAATATAAAAACATCCTTGAGCTAAAGGTTATTTTACATCTAACTATCCCGAATTTAACACCAACTCATTCACATGACGCCTAAACTGATACCGTTGTGGTTTGTTTGTACTTACAAATAACGGGTGTATGGCGTTATAGCCTGTATGAAGATATTGAGTTAGTTTTACCTAAAGTTCTCCATCCCAGCCCGTCGACCCCGCTGTCCATCAGTCTACAGAAGCTCTCCATGAGCACCGGCGGCACGTCGAAGAGGAGCGTGGACGGCTCGGTGTTACCTGACATGTTTCTGGTGGATCCAGGTGTGAATGTTATGATGTTTGGATGTTTCATGCCTCTCTCACTGACTGATGATGATGATGACTCTACACTGCTCTCTTGTGTTGAGGTCTATTTCTAAAATACGGAAATTCCCAAACCCCACCTACTTCCTCAAACCATTTCACACTCTGAACATAGTTTATTTGTGCGTAGAAGAGAGAAAACAGGCAAAACAAACATTTCCTAGCAACTTATTAGTAAATAAATAGTACTTTTCATACGTATAATAACAACAAATATAACAGTTATAATAACACCAACAAATAATACACTATTCCTTATTCTTAATAATAATAATGGAATGTCCTTGCACTGTTTGCTTGTGTTCTGTTTAATTTGAATAAAAAAAACTCTTCCCAACAACTAATATATATATATATATATATATATATATATATATATATATATATATATATATATACATACACACACATATATAGTTTCAACAATTTATCATATATAATAATTTTGGTTATGAATATGTAATGTGCCTATATATATATATATATATATATATATATATATATATATATATATATATATATATATATATATATATATATATATAGTTTCAACAATTAACCATATATAATAATTTTGGTTATGGATATGTAATGTGCCTATTTATATATATATATATATATATATATATATATATATATATATATATATATGACTACCTATTTTAATAAGATAGTCATTATTGCTGTTACTATTATTATCAAATACATCATCATTACATCATCATCATAAACAATATAATAATAATTGTATCAAGAAAATATATTTTGCCATTTGCTATTAAGTTAAACATTATTATACACTAAAAACAGTAAAAGTTATGCACCAAGCTATACACAGTGAAAACAGTAATTACAAATATATAATAACAACAACAATAATAAACAAATGATAAGATACCATTTTATACTTTATGTAATTATTTATTTACAGCTCTTTTAAATTAATTTAAGATATAACTATCAACAGCAGACCATAATACAACTTTCTGATGTTCAATGAGGAACATTAACGTGTATATATATATCTCCTCTAGGCACATTACATGTTCATAACCATTACCATTTATATTACTATTTTATTTTTTGATAGTCATTTTTAATGTTGTTACTATTATTATATAAACATCATCAATATTATCGTCATCATAAACAGTATAATAATAATAATAATAATAAGTAATAATAATAATGTATTTTGCCATTTGCTATCAAGTTATACATGTACCTTTTCTGATGGCCTAACAACCATTTTCAATTAACTAAACCTACAATAGTTCATAAATGCAAAGTACCAATGAGCACATAAACATATATTTAGGCACATTTCATATTCATAACCATTTATATGTGTATTTTATTTTGACAGTCATTTTTGCTGTTACTAATAACATTAACATCATCATAAGCAATATAATAATAAGAAGAAATAATAATAATAACAATGTTTTTAGCCATTCGCTATCAAGTTATACATGTATAACTTGACATGTAACTAACAACAGTGAAAACAATACTTAAATAAATAAATAAATGATAAGACACCATTTTATATTTTATGTAATTATTTTATACAGCTCTTTTAATGTAATTTAAGACATAACAGCAGACCATAATGGAACTGCACATACATGCACACACAGAGATCCATGTAAACATGAAACTAAAATGCAACTTCCTATTTTTTCTGATGGCCTAACAATACTTTTCATGAGCTAAACCTACAACATAATGAAAGTAAAGTAGTGACAAATAAGTACAAATAATAAAGCTAGAAACATACAAAAAAATAGTTAAATAAATTAACCAAAAATAGAAATTGCAGAAGCTAAACATAGTGACCTAAAATATTTCTGTTCTGCTTTTGCAATTTCTGTTTTTATTTTATATATATAGCCTATTTTTTTTTATTTTTATATATATATAGTTTGTTGGCTTATTTACAGCTTTATTTACAAAATAGGATAGAGTATTAGCCTAAATCTGATGAGTTGCACTTGCACATCATTTGACTTTCACGGTTTTATTAGTGTTATTGATATGACGTAGCTAGATTATGCAAGGCTTGAGAATCATAGCGAGGCTGGTTTGTCACATCACAAATTTTCTGGGAAATCATGTGACTTCATCTCATATTTGATATGGCGCGCTAGAGCCTGCAGCTTTTACAGTATTCCACCAAACGCCATGAAAACAGCCTACTGTCAGAAAATAAAAATAAAAAACCCGTAGAGCACAGATCGAGGACTTTACCAGTTTAATTGCGGTTTAAAAAGCGAAACTATTACTTGTTTCATTTTAAATATCCAATCACCACCTAGCTTGCTCAGTTGCTAGGCAGAAATGTATGTTTTAGGTTAGCCACATAACAGAAACTCAATGTAGGCACTATAAATAGCGTTGATTTAACTTAAATTACAGATTAATTGAAGCAAATAAACACCAATGCTCCATTAGTTTTTTCAAACTTTTATTTATCTTCTCTAAGTGACAATCATTATTTATTAAAGTCCCAAAATTGAAGTTTCCAAATGTATATTAAAAAGGAAAATAATAACAGTTTTAAAAGGGAACATTGACAGTATTTTTATTAAATAATTACAGAAATTCCAACATCGCTTTATTTTTAAGAACAGCCAACAAGTGCAGAGTTTACTGCTACTTTAATTTACACAAAAATGAACATACAGTGCAAAGCAAAGAATCAAAGCCAACCCAAAAACCTGTAGCAGCTACTTTGGTCAAATTATTCTACCTTTCGTGAAGAAAAAGAAAGGTTTCAGAAACTGTCATGGAATTTACAATGTAATTTAGCTATATAAAAAGCTCATAAAGCAACAGCAGCCCGTCCACACCAAGAACAGGAACTATATTAACATTCTGTTTATTCAACATATTAATATTATGAATCAGATTGAAAAGAAATCAGCGTAACAGTGATTGCAACAACGATATTTTGTTATAGTCCTTTTAAAGTGAAAACGATTGGCAAAACTAAAGCCCTGGCTTAATCAATATTGTCATAGCTAAAGTTCTTGGTGTGAACAGGCCTTAATTTGGACTCAGTAGATGACGTAAAATGTCCAAAGACACACGAATCCATCCTATAAAAGAAAAGAAAACACCTTTATTATATTTCTGAATCATCCTTTCATTTGTTTTTCATTGATAATTAACAGAAACACTTACGCTCCATCGTCCGCCTCGCTGCCCGGTTTGGATTTACATGTTGGGCTCTGCAGAAAAACACAAGACGTTCAATCCACATGTAATGTCAACCCATAGCCTAAGGTATTGCGAAGATGTCTTCTAAACGAATGTGAATATTAGCATATGATACTACTCACCCCAACTAAACTTCTTTGTCTCTTTCATGTGTCGAACGCTGCAGGTATATTCATCTCCTTTCTCTGGGGTGAAGGCAACGCTCTTTGTGAGGTGAAACTGCCAGCCCTTTTCGAAGGCCAGGTCGGTCTGCTTGGTGTCCGACATAACCTGTCCGTTCTTCAGCAGTTCAATGGAGATATCTGGAGGATGGAAGCTGCTCACATAGCAGATCAGGGTGTTTGGTTTTCCATACTCTCCTGGAAAATGACTGTACACATGAACTTTCGGAGTGGCTGAAAAAGACATTTTATAAAGTTAGTTTGCGGAAATGGTCGTGGCAGAATGCAAACATGGACATGACGAAAACGAAAGCATGAAGGCTGAACATGCCTTCATTGTGTAGAACGTAGTTTTCAGGCGTATAAAAAAACGCTTGCATGTTTGTATTCATTTTAAAATGAGGTAATGCTACCATTTTGACATAGGAAGTATTAAAATATCAATATTTGGCGAATTAAGTCACCGATAACTCAAAATTTTATTCTGATTAAAATTGTCATTTTTGACAAAAAAGGGCTCTAAATGACAAAATTTTTATTAGAAATTCAAAAAGAAATGTTCTCCGACCTTTATAGATTAAAACACGTTAACATTTTACTTAAACCCACACCTAGTAGATCCAAAAATCTGTAGAAATCGAGAAATTTCGAGTGAACTCTCATTTTATACTTGCTAACTTGGCAAATTTGAGGCTTTTCAATCACAACAATATTTTAGTTTGGCTATATACTGGTTCTAAAACATACAATGAAGCACGTTGCCTTCTTAACAAAGGCAAAAAAAAAAAAACAATCTTAGAAACTAAAATAAAATCACTTCTAGCCTAAAAATAGATACATGAACATATTTGTACACACAGAAATACATATTTTATATTCTAATCATAGATACTTCGAAGTTATTCACTTGCAATCATCAGAAAGAACCAACAATGCAGCACAGTAAACAAAAAACAGAACAAAAAACAGAATTCAGATATGCAATCTAAATGACTTACAGACTTTCCCCTGTACAGTGATGTACAGCAGACAAAGAAGTGCAAAAGTGATGAGTGCTCTCATTGTGGCCGTTTTATTCGAGAGAGCCAAGCAGACAATCCTTCAGCATTCAGGACAACAGCAGTTGATATCGAAAGTAAATCGAGGATAACCTTAAATGCACTGTCACCAACGACAAAAGCTCAGCCTACAAAATGAAAAGCAGCCAATAGTAAAAGTCCTACAAGGTGTTGCCGGGTGGATTTGTTCTAGGGAGGTTATACAAAATATGGCGTTGATCTGGTAGAAAACACACTGGCAGCCATTGGAAAGCCCCAAACTTACCTAAACAATAATAGGATGCCTCCCTATTGTTTTCATAAACACAAGTGATCCACCATTTTGCGAATCGATCATCACTATGATTGTGGTTACATGCCAAAGCAATCCAACAAACATATTCATAATCTTAAAAGCTGTAAACAGACATGTAGGCTATCCTAATATTGTCTAAAAGGAAATAAAAACTGGTAAATGCCAGTGAAATAACTATTAAAAGAATGCATTTCTTTGTGTACGAAAACAATAGGTATTTTACAGTTAAGGAAATTGGTAAACGAATGAATATAATTGTAGCTTTATAATGTTTAAAACAGTAAAACAAAAGGGCAGTGAACTGTGTTAAATACAATTGTGACTTTCAAAACAACTGAGG